ATAAATAAATATTTAAAAAAAAGAAAAATGTGGTATATTTACACAATGGAGTACTACTACACAGCAGAAAAAAATAATGACAGCTTGAATTTTGCAGGAAAATAGATGGAGCTAGAAAACATTATTTTGAGTGAGGTAACCCAGACCCAAAAAGATAATTATCACATGTACTACTCACTCATAGGTGTTTTTTAAACATAAAGCAAAGAAAGCCAGCCTACAAACCACAATCCCAGAGAACTTAGACAACAATGAGGACACTAAGAGAGACTTACATAGATCTAATCTCCATGGGATGTAGAAAGTATAAAAAGACCAGATCTCCTGAGTAAATTGGGAGCATGGGGACCTTGGGGGAGGATTAAAGGGGGAGGGGAGAGCAGGGAGGGGGGCAGAGAAAAATGTTGAGCTCAATAAATATCAATAAAAAAAGGAAAGGGTCTCATGTAGTCCATGTGGCCTTGAACTGTGTGGCTGAGGCTGCCTTTGAACTTCCAATCCTCGCCTTCATCTCTCATGTGCCGTGATTCCAGGTGTGCACCACACACCTGGTACATGCTACTGTAAACTTAGATGGTCTGCTGAGTCAGTGTTCTCCTGGCTCTATCTCTAATAGTCCTAGAAATAAAACACAGTTAAGATGATAGATACATGGGCTGGAGAGATGGCTCAGAGGTTAAGAGCATTGTCTGCTCTTCCAAAGGTCCTGAGTTCAATTCCCAGCAACCACATCGTGGCTCACAACCATCTGTAATGGGATCTGGTGCCCTCTTCTGGCCTTCAGGCATACACACAGGCGGAATATTGTATACATAATAAATAAATAAATAAATATTAAAAAAAGATGATAGATACATTTTATTCTCATCAAGAGTGGGAATTTAAGGACTCACTCGGCAACAGCATTAATCATTAAATTTTTGTGTGCCATCTTTAAAAGTAAAGAAGTCAATTTCTTTGTGTAAACTTGCATTTCTTTGTACTACTAAACGGGCATTCTTTGTGTGTGCATTGTAGGTTCACCTACATCCTCATTTTATACAAAATATGTGTCCTTATAGATTGGGAGAATGAATGAACTGGGAAACCTTGTGGGCTGTGTGTATCAAAGAGATGACTAAGGAGCATATTTTAAGTTCATCCTTTGGTTGCTCATAAAACAAGACAGAGGAAGGTTCAGGAAAAGTGTGCTGTTACCTGCACTACATTTGGATAGAGAGCAGCACACAGCACCGCAGATATCAGCTTGGGGTTCTCAGCATTCGTGTTGGCCTGTGAGAGAAACACAGCATTGTCCATAGGAGATGTTTTTGCAGGTAATGTGTTTGACATTATATTTCTTTCTTTCTTCTTTGTGAACCAGGGTTTCACTATGTAGCCCTGGTTGGTCCCGGACTCACAGAAATCCATTGGCTTCTGCCTTCCGAGTGCTAGGATTAGAGGTGTGCACCACCACACCTAGCCATTTTGTTTGATGTCTATCTTAAAACAAAAAAAAGTATCTACTTTTTTTTAATCAATTATAAAATTTCTTTCTAAGCAGAAAATAAATCTCCCAGACCATAGTCACACAGGACACATTTTAAAGAGCCCACAATGATTCTAGATGCATGCGAAGCAGTTCTAAAGTCAGTGTTTTGACTGTGATGTGATTAAGGGAGCCAAGGTGAAACTGCTGGCAAGCCCTGCAGCTCCCAGCAGTTCTAAGTGAACTCTTTTTGTACAGGGTTAAACAAACAAACAAACAAACACAAACACAGGCAGTGCTGATCAGCACCCAGGAGAGAAAGCCTGGTTTGTGAGACACTGAGAAGCTCCAGCAAATACTAATTGCTTCAGAACAAAGGAACACAAGTTCATCTGGAAGAACTACTTCTGTAATTACACAGAACGGACACATTTGTGGGCAGGGGAAGTCAAGAACACCACTAACCCCTGCTCACTGGGCTGAAGTGAAGACTGGCCGTGACGCCACAGGCCATATTTCAGTTGCATGTGATGGAACCGAAGTGAACCAGACAAGCACATGCGCTTTACCTCTTCTCCTGTGGCGTCCAGGACGCCATCTCCTCCTTGGGCCCTTTTCTCAATTTCCCTTGCTCTGAGTCCCTCTTTCACAAAGCCTATGTCGGACAAGAGCTCCGTGAACTGCCGTTTGAGGCTGGCCATTTCCTGAAAGAAGGAACAAACTTTTAAACGAAGGAGCTATGAACACATCAAAAAGGTGAGCGGCTCACAAACGTGCAGCAGCGGTGACTTGTAATGAGTGCAGACGGCCCATCTAACAAGACAGAGGGCTAGCTTGTCTGCCATCTTTAAAAGGTGGCTTTCACTTACTACAAACTGGCAGACACTTACAAACAAATCCAAAGCCTTTGAAATCCCTGATGATAATTTCTTTCTTTTCTTTTTTTCTTTTTTTTTTTCCCTTTTTGCTCTTTGAGACAGGGTTTCTCTGTGTAGCCCTGGCTGTCCTGGAACTTGCTCTGTAGACCAGGCTGGTCTTGAACTCCCAGAGATCTGTCTGCCCCTGCTTCCTGAATGCTCGGTGGAATTAAAGGTTTGTGCTGCCACCACCACCTGGCTAAATTTTTTGGTTTTTGTTTTTAAGTAATTTATTTATTTGTACTTTATGTACATTGATGTTTTGCTTGCATGTGTGTCTGTGTGAGGGAGTCAGATCCCCTGGAAGAAGAGTTCCAGAGAGTTGTTAGCTGTCATGTGGGTGCTGGGAATTAAACCCAGGTCCTCTGGAAGAGCAGCCAGCTGTTAACCACTGAGTCATCTCTCCTGATGACCATTTCTTGAATACCATATTACATTCCACACATTTTAACTGGGGTGTGGTAGGTCTGATTTTCTTACAAATTCTTGGGATGGTGAAAACGGACGTAATTTATTTGGCTTGTGGTACTGCTTGTTGCTTTAGTTTCCAATCCTTCTGTTTGCATTTCTGTCCAAGTCCTGTCAGTTCCTTACCTGAGCCGGGAGTGGACAATGTCTCTCTCTGTGGAACTCATGTGCAGAATTTTCCCTCTTTTCCTACTCTGTGGTCTTACTGGATCACAGGTGATGCTGGGGATGAGGATGTTATTAAGTGTTTTAGATTTAGACACAAAAAAGTACAAATGTCTTTGTCTTGTGCCTTTTGCTCAAATCCAGGCTTCAAGAACCAAATGTAGTGGCTCGTGTTCGCCATTTCGTAACTTGGAAGGCAGAGAGAGGCAGGAGACTGTTGGACCCAGATGTTTGGGGACAGCCTCAGCAACAAAGGAAGAGTCCACCATTTTAAAAGTGGGGGGCAGCCAGCACGCGGGAGGCAGAGGCAGGCAGATCTCTGTGAGTTCAAGGCCAGCCTGGCCTACAAAGGGAGTTCCAGACATCCAGAACTGTTAAACAGAGAGACCCTGTCTCAAAAAAAAAAAAAAAAAAAAAAAAAGTGGGAGAAGGCATACATAGGTGGTAGAGGGTTCGCCTAGCATGCTGGAAACCTGAATTTGACCCACATCACAGTCTGAACAAAACAGGTGAGGTCTCTACTCTGGCACAGCTTATCTGGCAGAGGGGAAGAAATAGATGCAGAGGATCAAGAACACTGATTTTATGACCCACTGTCCTCCCCTTCTCCATCCTCCAGATCTTTAACAAAACAAAGCTGGTAGAGCTCGATTCCATCACTTCCTTGGCTTCCTAGACACCGTGGAATGAGGCCTAAATATTGTCACAGGCAAGGAGCTATGGGGTTAGGGATGGTCACGGACCCCACTGATAGTGTGCTGAGAGCTACAGTTGTCTCTTGAGAAGAAGTCACATGATATGCATGTGTATGTACCACTGGGGAGACGGCCACCCTCACCATGCTGGTAGTCTGCTCTGCCTCCCACATTAAACCAAGGCAGGTGAGAGTTTCATCAGTCAAAGTCTCATGTCTGCCATTCTGCACAGCCAAGAAAACCACGCATGCTCAGAAATAACCTCCCCACCGTCCAGAGAGGACAAATGGGTAGAACTGCAGGCCCTCTGCGTAACTGTGAGCCCTACAGTGGAAATGGATGAAGGGACAGCAGAGAAGCCACTCACCTGCAGAGTTCTTCCTGACAGGAAGTTCTGTCTGCAGTAATTATAGCCCGCTCTCGCGCTTTCTTTTGTACTCAGCTGCCAACCCTAAATTGTGGAGAAAATCAAGCTGAACTTACTTTAATGTTGGTGCCAACTGTGGTTATAAACCTAAGTTCTGAGATCACCTTACCTTATATGCACAGAGAAGGGCCAGATAGTCACTGTTTGCAAATGCAAATTCCAGCTTTTTCTGGTTAGCCTCTTCTTTTTTATCCCAGGGAGACACCTAAGTGAGGGAGATGGATTTGCAGGACAGTTTATCTGAGGTTTCAAATGGCACTTCCTTACTGCCGAAACCCACTGCTTGGGGAAAGCTTCTTGCACGGTACAAAGTGTGCTAGTCCATGGGTAGGCTGATCCAAGGCAAGCGCGATACTGAAGCTAATGAATGGCCTTTTGTTCTGTGAGTTCAAAGTGAGCCCAAGATAAGCAATTACGGTTTTTTAGTACCAGATGGCAAAAGATAGTCATCAAAGACCTACCTATTTTTTGGATTTGTTTGGCTGTTTCTTTCTTTTGGTAATGATTATTTTTATTTTATGTGCATTGGTGTTCTGCCTGCATATATCTGTGTGAGGATGTCGGATTCTCTGGAACTGGAGTTACAGTAGCTATGAGCCGCCATGTGGGTGTTGGAAATTGAACCTGGGTCCTCTGGAAGAGCAGCCAGTGCTCTTAACTCTGAGCCATATTGCTCAGACTAGCCTTGAAAACTGGGCCCAGGGCTGGAGAGATGGCTCAGTGGTTAAGAGCACTGGCTGCTCTTCCAAAGGTCCTGAGTTCAATTCCCAGCAACCACATGGTGGCTCACAACCATCTGTAATGAGGTCTGATGCCCTCTTCTGGACTGCAGGCAGACATGCAGACAGACTATTGTATACGTAATAACTAACTATTAAAAAACAAATTAAAAAAAAGAAAACTGGTCCTAGCAGGAAGGTTGTACAAAACTTAAAGCCACAGTGGGATGGTGATACATCTCCCTGCCTTAGTACTGGAGATGGAGCCCAAGGCCGCACACATGCTGGCAAGTGCTACACTTTAATCCTTAAAGGCCACTGACTTAAATTCTTGTAAATGGGTGAACTGTATACACAAATAATATTTCAAAAGTTACTTTTAAAAGTTGGTAAATGCATTCATTACTTTTTGAAATTATATAGGGGTCTCTTGCTGCCTTACTGTTTTTTGATTTTTCTATAATAAGCAATAGCAAACTAAAACCACATTATTTTAATAGCTATACCTCTAATACCCAAGGGTTTTTTGGGGAGGGAGGGGGATAGAGATCTTTCTAAGGAAAAATTTCACATCCCATATATAAGCAAATTTTTAGAGGGCTCGCATATCTCTGAGGCCTAAAGATTCCTTCTAGACTGTGACATAAACTCCAATTTAGACAAATGCTCACTTACAAAAGGGGACTTAAAGGCCAAGCTTGCAGCAATGGTGAGAGCCGGGTCCAGACAGCGGAAGATAGACCCAAACAGCATCAGTTTGCCGATCCTCACGTCCACTGGCAGAGAGGCCAAGTGATAGCCCAGAGGGGTCAGCTTCTCATCTGGAGTTAGGGCTCCCAAGTCCCGTAACCGCACTTTTGAGGCACGAAGGGAGTCAATATGGGGAGGTTCAATGAGCCGCGCGAACACAGACTGGAGATTATGAGAGCTGAACATTTCCAAAATTTTAATTCTGAAAAAGAAAAGAAAATCATAATTTGTAAATTTGATATATGACAGAATGAAGCAGAGGGGCACCTTTTGTTTCTTGAGTGAGAAAGATAAATGCTTTTTTAAAAAAGACTGGCTTTGATCATTTCAATTCTGTGTAGGTGTGTCTGCACGTGGGCATGTGCACCTGAGTGCAGGTGCCATTGGAACCCAGGGTGTAGACCCCCTGGGGCTGCAGTTACAAACTGTGGGGAGCTGCCTGGCGTGGGCGCTGGAACTGAACTAGGGTTTTCTGGAAGAGCAGAAAGTGCTCTTAGTTACTAAGCAGTCTCTCCAGTCCCTGAGAAATGCCTTTTAAACCACACACTTGTGGGTTCTGAGACAAGTAGAAGCTGCCTCCCTAGTCCTAGGACTGCAGGCGGGGCCACTGCACCCAGCAGCACTTCTGCGTTAGAGAAAAGACTGAAAGTCTCTGGTTCTCTAGTTTTCTTAGCAGTGAACTACAGAAACAGTCCAAGTTCTCAACTTACCCATATTCAAAAATTCTTTTTTATAAACTTTCAAAACTGCTGTGTTCTCGTAACTGTGGGTTCAAATTACAAAGGAGAATTCACATGGGGAGGCAGTGTTGGAGGATGTGGAAGCTTGCGTTCTGCCGAGGCCAGGGAAAATGGTACAGCTGGAGGAGGTGCCTCAAAGAAACTGCAATTAGAGCTACCAGATGGCTCACAGATTGGACCTTTTCTTTTGGTTTTTCGAGACAGGGTTTCTCTGTGGCTTTGGAGCCTGTCCTGGAACTAGCTCTGTAGACCAGGCTGGCCTCGAACTCTGCAGATGCTCTTCCTTAGTGCACGTATTTGGTACTTAGTCTCTTCCCACCGGAGCTGGTCCACTAACGTGATGCGCTGGCAGTGAGGAATGCACTGAAGTTTCGAGTAGGACAAGGAAAGAATGGCCTATGCTGGCATACAGGTGTCCCTATCTTTCTACTACTAAGTGTTTCAATAACCCTTTTATGCTACACGTGCTACACTTCCCTTCCCTATTCCTTCGAGTCAATCAACTGCCAAAGTTCTCTCAACTCCCTTCACTCCCTTCCATCCACACCACCATGACCTCAGTGCAGAGGATCAGCCCCTCCCCTACTGCCTTTCCATTGTTTGGAGATGGGTTCTCACTGTGTACCCGATGAATCTGGCTTCAAAGCCAGGATCCTCCTGCCTTACTCTCTCAAGTACTGGGATTATAGGCATGTGCCATTCTGCCATTCTGCATGGCTTCTTCCTCGATTTGTAACTTCCAGACTACGGACACAGCGTTTCTACATCCTATAGCATACATCCTATGTGACCGAAGGTTACAGGGCTGGGATTGTAGCCCAGTGGCAGAGCACTTGACTAGCATGCACAACATCCTGGGCTCAACCCAGCACTTGGAAAAAACAGAAAGAGCTTTATGCAAGTAATCTGTATTCTTTGGGGATTTTTTTTGCTTTTCAAGTTAACAACTGGATAAAAGAGAATGGATAAATTTCATTCCTTATCTATCACCAAGCAATTTTTCATAAACATTGAATCGAAACTTTTTTGTTTTCAGACAAAGTTTCTTGTGTAGCCCTGGCTGCCCTGGAACTAGCCCTATAGACCAGGCTGGTCTTGAACTCACAGAGATTCGTTTGTCTCTGCCTCCCAAGTGCTGGGAGTGAAGATGTGCACATTGAATCTGTTCAAATCCTATTTTATGACATTTGTTCACTGGCTAATAACGGTGTCGTAAATTTTGTTTACTTTTCTCTGATAACGAGGCTGTAGATTTTCCCCTGGAATAATGTGACATTAATGTATAATCTGGCAGCAATTCCCTGGCAGGTCAAGTTACTTTCCTAATTTACAAATGCATTTTTGAGCTTTATGGTGGGGCCGAGCTCTGCAAATGCGAGACTGTGTGTAGAAAGGTAAAAGGAAAGGGAAGGGCCACACGTGACGTGCTTTCTTTGCAAATGAATGAGCTCATCCACTCTATTCTTAGCAAAATGTCTTCCACTAGGAAAAGGAGAACATGAAGCTTAAATAGCACGAGAACCATGGGACTGCTGGGAGCAGAGCACACACGTCAAGATGTCACCTTAGGCACAGCTGTTCCAATGGCACTCTTTGTATTTCTGGTAGCTGCTGCTTTAAAAGCTGATGGCTGTAGTGGTGGCTTGTGAACAAATGGAAGCAGACTCCAGATGCAACACGGCCAGCTCGACCTTTTCTCTGCAGAGCATTGGCCTGGGACACAAATGTGTCCTCTAGACTTTCCATCCCTTTGCCGGCATCGTATCTGGAAAGGAAAAGGAAATACAAGACTGAGTGATTCTGTATGTATAAGGACACACATGTGTGTGAGCATGTATGCCAGAGAACAGCCTCGGCTATAACTCTCCAGGCACCGTCTTCTCTCTTGCCAAGCAGGGTAGGCTGGCCAGCCAGTGAGCTCCAGTTTCCCTTTCCCAACAGCGGCCACCACATCTAGCCTCTTTTTGCTTTGCTTTCTTTCCCTCCCTCTCTCCCCGCCCCTCCCCCTTCCTTCCCAAGTGTGGGTTCTGGGGATTGAACATAGTTCCTGCAAGTACTTTACTGTGCCACTTTTAAATTTGTGGTTAAGACTACCTGGCATGGACAAATAGTCCTGCTTATTACTTAAGACATCCACCTTATCCCTACAGAGATACACAGTGTTCTGTGTATTCCAGGGCTGTGGTATAACTAGTGCTGATTTAAATGCTACCAACACCACCACACACATTTTCTAAAATCATTTCCTTTTCATCCAAGCACACGAGGAAAAAATCACATGGGAAAATGAATCCATTGCTTCTGAGGTAAAACTTTAAATTGTGTATCCTTGTTTGACTTTATCATTCATGACGCTGGCCACTGAATCCCACAGACAATATTCCTTTAAAGGGGACCTTAGCATTAACCCTCCACAGCCCTGCCATCCTAAACGAGGTATCTGTAGTGCCTCTGGTACCTCACCAAAAGAGAATACCTCTTTTCCTTCATCTTCCCAGAATCGATGACATAAACAACATCGTCAATGGTTATGGACGACTCGGCAATGTTGGTGGAAATTATAATCTTAGTTACGCCCGTGGGAGGCTTTACAAACACCGCCTGCTGCTCTTCACTGGATAACGACGAGTGCAGTGGATGGATAACACACCTAAGGAGACGGAAAACCACAGTGAGGGTTCTGGGGCGGGTGACTCCAGGTCGGCAGCTTCCCTGCACTCCTCCAGGCCCAGCTCTTCTCAGTGTGAGGCTCCTTCTGATCTTACAAAACACTGCACCAGCTCTGGAGAAGCTGGGGGTTAATGCAGTAGTGAGCCACCAAGAGGAACAAGCCTAGGTCCAGAGAGAGGGAGGCAGAGCGTGACACAAGTCAGGGTAGTCCCTGCTAAGCCTCTAGGGAGTGTCTGATAGCTAGCTTTGCCCCGTACTGAAGGCACGTCCAGGGACTGGCGGAAAATTACTTTCCCTCAAAATGACAGCATCTTCCCCTCCTCTTCAGGAATCTAGCAACTGAAATTGCATGCAAATTTGCTGAGTCACTGTGGTAAATGAAGAGAAATGTCTGTCCTTGATGGAAAGGAGTGACATTTCCTGGAGCGCAGAGGTCTGCCCACGTCCAGCTGGCACACACAAGACAGTCTAAGGAGGGTGAGAAGCACAGGGCCCTTCTGCTCCTGTCTCTGTGGGTGGCTGCAGTGAGTGACTATGGCTGGACAGCCGGCGGCTTACCGATGACTGCGTCTGTTGTTGAAGAGCGCGTTAGACTGCAGCTGCTCATAAAGCATCTTGATTTCTGCCAGCCCCGGTAAAAACACAAGTATAGCACCTGAGATCGAAAAGAGAGACTCAGGTAAATGAACAAGGAAGATAGAATAGGTTATAAATTGTTTGTAAACCAATAATCTGGTAATTTTTCACTATCAGTTTTTCTTTGTAAAGCCTCAGTATTTAAATGAATATGAAATCACATTTCTGTATATACCCTGATTTACTTTTTTTTTAAAGATTTATTTATTTATTATGTATACAATGTTCTGGCATATATGCCTGCAGGCCAGAAGAGGGCACCAGATCTCATTACAGATGGTTGTGAGCCACCATGTGGTTGCTGGAATTGAACTTAGGTCCTCTGGAAGAACAGTCAGTGCTCTTAACCTCTGAGCTATCTTTCCAGCCCCAATACTCTGATTTAATAAGGACAAAGTAGAGTAGTATTACTCTTTTCCAATAGAAAAGGGAAGTGTAGAAGAGCATGTCTTACGTTCATGCATGTGTGCAAGTGTGGGTGTGTACCATCTGAGGACCAAAACCAATACCTCGCACACATCAGGCCCAGTTCTTCAACATATTTCCTCAGTACCCTGGCCACTTGCATTCTGTTTCTATGGTTATGAAGACTCCTTTGTTAATGAAATCCAGATATGTTAGTGGATATGATAAAAATAAACTCTGATCTGCTTATCTAAGTTCAGACACATTTGAAGGAGACAGTTTATTAATTAGTCGTGACTTATTAATCATTGATGGCCTTTAAACTTGTCCATTAAAGAAAACAAGCAACAGTAACAGATCATACTGTATTTCTGTCCCAACAGTTGCTTTATTTTGTAGTTTTTTGAGACAGGGTATCCCTTAGTAGTTCGGGTGGTCTTGGAACCCACTCTGTAGTTCAGCTTGGCCCTAAACCCACGTTGACTCTCCTGCCTCGGTCTCCCAGGTGCTGGGGTTACACGCATGAGCTTCCACGCCTGGCTTTCTCTTGTGCTTCATTCACAGAAGAAGCTGATAACCTCCTCACTAACATCTCCCTCCATCTCATGTAGGTAAGCAGGATGCCAAGGTCAGCTGTGTAGTAAATCAGGGCCCCCAGAGCTCATTACCTACAGCCATGCTTACTTTCCCCATGGACAAAGAAGGAATCTAAATCATCACAAAACCAGAGGCAGGCCAAGCAGAGGTCTTGCGGGGATGTTTTCTCACACTCAGCCACCCTGAGGAAAGAAGGGCATCAGTACGAAGCACACTACTCAGTCCTTTGCCAGGCCAGAGCTGATAGGCTGAGTGCCTCATTCATTACCAACACTCAGTTTCTACGCTCTTTCTATTGCACGTCCCATGCTGCTCTATACGAAAACGACACAGATTTAGAGTAGTAAAATAATCTGTATAGAGATGGGGAACTTGTCTATATGTTTTATCTACTTTATTATGATCTGTTCCTCCCTCGTGGCTTGGCTACCTGTAGGAATAGCTCTGATATTCACAGATAGGTCACTGGTTCTTTGTTAGTTATTTTTTGAGACATGGTCATACAACCCAGCTGCCCTGGAACTGCTTTGTTGCTCTGTAGACCAGGCTGGCCTTGGACTTGCAGATCTGGCTGCCCCTGCTTCCCAAGAACTAGGAGTATTCAATGTGCCTGGTGAATTTTGGTAATTTTCTAAAATTTCTTTTTGGCTGGCATGTTTATTTTCAGTAAATCTTTTTTTTGGAATGAAACCACCCCTAGTCCATTAGTAATACATTAGCAACACCTGATCACTTACTTGCCAAAAGACAACAAATAAGAAACTTAATAATTTACATGGCTTTCAAGTGCCCTTAGGACATATCACATGATGGTAAAGTCTAAACTGAGAGAGCAACATTACCGTCTCTCTTAAGTCATATGGGACAAGCATATAAAGTCTTTTATTGATCTTTATTGAATTTTACAATTTCACTCAATCAGCACCCAATCCTTCAACAAAAATTAGTTTTAGCTAGGCATGGTGGTGTACACCTTTAATCCCAGCATTTGCAGGGATAGGTGGCTCTCTGTGAGTTCAAAGACAGTCTGGTCTACACAACAAGTTCCAGGCCAGTGAGGGCTACATAGTGAGACCCTGTCTTAAAAAAATATATTCTGCATTTAGATGTTCCAAGCACTTTCCTAGGAGCTGAGAAGTCCAGGGTGAACAAGAAACCCCTGCCTCCCTCACCACTCTCAGGACAGGGTTAGCCTGGCAGTGCAGCCCTGGCTGTTCTGGAACTTGCTCTGTAGAACAAGTTGGTCTCAAACTCAGAGATCCACCTGCCTCTGCCTCCCTAGTGCTGGAACTAAAGGTGTGCACAACCACGCCTGGCAAACTCTCTGCTCTTGAATTTACATTCTACTGAAGGAGATGGATCAGTAAGCAAAACAATTCTAGACAGTGTCGGGTACTAGTTGCTTTGAACATTGTGACAGCAAGAGTGAGGACAAGGTCGCAGAGAGGATGGCCTGCAGTGGGGACATCATGTATGCAGAACCGCAATGTGGAGGATTCAGTCAAGAGATCTGAACTCTCCTGGGCACAAGGGACTGCAGTGAAGACGGCTAGCACGATGAGGGTGGTAAGGGACGGAAACCATGACACCAAGGGTGACCTACAGCGCGGGGTTCTCCTGTCTCTCCTTCCCAAGGGATGGGACTCCACCCACATACCACCATTCTGGTTTGTGAGACACTGGAGCCTTTCTACATGCTAGGCAAGCATGCTGCCAGCTCAGCTACACACAGGGCCTGATTTTCATTCATTTAAAAGATTTATTTTTATTCACACACACATAAATTATGTATTTGTGTGTGGGTATGTGCATGTGAGTATAGGCACCCTTAGAGGTGAGAGGCATTGGGCCTCCTTGGAGCTGGAGTTAGAGGCTGTGAGCTGCCCAGCATGGGAGCTGGGAATTGAACTCAGGTCCTCTAAATAAGCAACAAGTGCCATCTTTCACCCTCTATTTTGTTTCTTTGTTTGTTTTTGTTTTTTGAGACAGAGTTCCTCTGTGTAGCCCTGGCTGTCCTGGAACTTGCTCTGTAGACCAGGCTGGCCTCAAACTCAGAGTCTGCCTGACTCTGTCTCCCAAGTGCTGGGACTAAAGGTGTGCACCACCGCCGTCTGGCTTGTTTTTAATCCTAATTTTCTTGTATGTCATGGTGCTGGGGATCAAGCCCTTGTCTGAACACACTGAGCAGATGCTCCACCACTGAACTGCACCCCAGCCCTACTTAGTTTCTTTCAGGAGTTGAGACAGCTTTATAGAAGATTGACTACTGTCTTTATTTTACAAACAAAGCAATTAAAATCGAGAAAAGATAAGGACTTAGTCAAATGTATAAGGTTCCTAATAGCAAAGCTAGGAGGAAATCTATCAGACTCTAAGCTTGGGGTCTTACCCCATGCCCTATGGTCTCGTGTGCAGTTTTCCAAGGCCTAAGTGTTTACTATGTGGATCACTGGGGCCTAGAGAAGAAACGGTCACCTGGAGGGTAGGAGTGCTTGCCGTCCACAATCCACTCCAGCAAGGCCTCTATTAAGTCAAAGTTGACTCTTTCAAAGTCCATGACAGACATCGTCTTGATGACTGACTTGCTCACCCCTGAAAGAAAGGTAAAGATCAGAATAATTACACCTCTGCCTGTGAGGTCGGTGAATCTTGGGTTGGTTTAACAGTACAGGAGTTCAAATGTAATATGTGGTGAATGCTTTCTTTCAGTCCCTCAGACAGCACTGCTAAACAGAAGTACTTCCTTCTCTTTTTTCTTTTAAGATTTATTTATTTATGGGCTGGAGAGATGGCCCAGTGGTTAAGAGTACTGATTGCTCTTCCACAGGCCCCAGCACCCACACACCCAGCTCACAATTGTATATAACTCTAGGGCCTGACACCTTCACACAAGATATATATGCAGGCAAAACACTGATACAAATAAAATGAAAATAAATAATTCTTAAAAAAATTTATTAGATATAGTATTCTGCCTGAAATATGCCTTCAGGCCAGAAGAGGGCAGCAGATCTTATTATAGATGGCTGTGAAGTAGTTGCTGGAAATTGAACTTAGAACCTCTGTAAAAGAGCAACCAGTGCTCTGAACCTGTGACCCATTTCATCAGCATCATTTTTTTTTTTTTAGGCTAGCCTTAAACTCAAGAGAAGGATGACTTTGAACTTTTGATTCTTCTGCCTTCCTCTCAAGTGCTAGGATTGTAGGCACACACCGCCACATTTGGTTTCTGTGTTGCTAGAGATCAAATCCAGGGCTCCATACCAGGTACATAAACACTGTATCAATTACATCCCAGCCCAGAAATACCTCGTGCCCCATTAGAACATTGAACTCTCTCCTTCTTTCCATCCTTTCCACCATCATGTATTTATCAAAATTTTAAGATCTAGAACAAAATTCAGTCAGACACATTTTAGAAACCCTGTCCAGACTCAATCAAACCTTGAGTCAGGAAGCCCAGGCAGTGGTTACCACAGGAAGACACGAATGGAGCACAGCTGCTTCACGAGCATCTTTACAACAGTGCTAGACCATTACGGTGCTTTGAGACATAAATGATGCTTCTTCCTTGAAGAGTGCATGCGAGTTTAAAAAATTCCTCCATGCAGGGCATGGTGGCGCACGCCTTTAATCCCAGCTATCTGGGAGCAGAGGCAGGTGGATCTCTGTGAGTTCTAGGATAGCCAGGGCTACACAGAGAAACCCTGTCTTGAAAACCAAACCAAACCAAAACAAACCAAAACAAAATACCCGAAAAAACCAAACCAAAACCAAAAGACTTCATTCACACCATACCCATGATGTCTATCCCCACATGCTTTAGTAAGGATCTTTAATCTTGGGGGCTGGAGAGATGGCTCAGTGGTTAAGAGCACTGACTGCTCTTCCAAAGGTCCTGGGTTCAATTCGATCACATGGTGGCTCATAACCATCTGTAATCAGATCTGGTGCCCTCTTCTGGCCCGCAGGCAGGACACTGTATACATAATAAATAAATCTTTTTTTTTTTTTTTAAAGGATCATTAATCTCTCCCTCCCCACTGGAGTCTTAGTAAAGACTTCCTTAGCTCTCCCCTCAGCTCTTTGGGTCTCTCACTGAATATGAAGCCCAGTTGTCAGTGAGCCTCAGGATCTTGTGTTGTATGTGTCCCATCCATCCCGTCCATCCATCTGTCCGTTTGTCCATCCATCTGTCCATCCATCCATCAATCCATCCATCTGTCTATCCATCCTCTCCTCGTGCTGAAGTTACAGGTACTCAGGAACACACCTGGTTTGTATGTGAGCTCTGGGGATCTGAATGCAGTTCCTCAAGTTGTGTAGCAAGTATTTTATCCATGCATCCTCCCCAGTCCAATCTTGACATTTTAAAGATTATTTTGTAGAGTGTTCTTCTATTTGGTTATCTGATATTTTACCACCATCAAATTAAATCATGAATATCACAAAACAATGTTGAATTTTCAGTGCATGATTGAGGTCTGCAATCTTTGTTTGCCCCATTATTGTGTTAACTTGATCATTTAGTTAAGATTCTTCCCTGTCTAATTGTTATTCATTCCCTTTGTAGTTAAGTCATTCATGGAGAGGTATTTGAGATTATTTAAATATTGGGGAAATTTTACCAGCCAGTGTTAGCATTATACATAGACTTTTATTTACTTATTCATATTACTTTTGGTTTTTTTTGAGACAGAGTTTCTCTGTGTTGCTCTGGCTGCCCTGGAACTTGCTCTGTAGACTAGGCTGGCTTCGAACTCAGAGATCCACCTGCCTCTGCCTCCTGAGTGCTGGGATTAAAGGCCACCACCATCACCTCCCAGCTATACATGGACTTTTAAAATAACATATTTTAATTGGGTATAATAGTATATGCCTATGGACCCAGCTACATGGGAGGATGGAGCAGGAGTTCAAGGCTAGCCTGTACAACATAGTAAAACCTCTGTCTCAAAAAAATAAAAAAAATTAAATAAAATGACAGCTGTAAAGATTCCTCCTTTAAATGCATTTTAATTGTGTTGTCAGGGAAGCCCTCCCCTGTGACATACTGCGCCTGTTACTGTTCCTTCCTGTGTGGTCTGCTATACCTATAACCAGAAAGGAACACACAGGACACACACTTTGTCTTTGTCCTTAAGGCTGAGACTAGGTCCCAGCCACCCTCCCTGCTCTTTCCCCTAGTTTCTTCTATCCCTCACTTGTCTTTTCTGCGTAAGAGCCTCTAACCTTTGTTACTCCTTCTGCAGGGTCAGCTGCTTTTTCTTTTATCTCCTAGCAAAGACTTTTTTTTTTTTAATTTTCGAGACAGGGTTTCTCTGTAGTTTTTGGTTCCTGTCCTGGAACTAGCTCTTGTAGCCCAGGCTGGCCTTGAACTCCCAAAGATCCACCTGCCTCTGCCTCCCGAGTGCTGGGATTAAAGGCACGCGCCACCACCGCCCGGCATCTCCTAGCAAAGACTTTTAAAAATTAATAATAATTTTTAAACTTCCCTGGCAGGTATGGTAGCTATAATCTATGCAGTAGAACTGCTGACTTGGGAACTTTTTTTTTTTGGTTTTTCGAGACAGGGTTTCTCTGTGGCTTTGGAGCCTGTCCTGGAACTAGCTCTTGTAGACCAGGCTGGTCTCGAACTCACAGAGATCCTCCTGCCTCTGCCTCCCGAGTGCTGAGATTAAAGGTGTGCGCCACCACCGCCCGGCCTGACTTGGGAACTTTAAAGTTGTTTTGACAAATTTAAGGCAATGTTACCATAAAATAAAAGTCCTATTTTTCTGGATCATGGTGGGATAGAAACGACAAGAAACTTTTGGCGTATTTAATACCATTCCCTGAGTGCGCACATTACCTTTATAGCGGACCAAGAGCTGCTTAAAATCTAACTGTTGATCTGGTATTGTGTCTTTGACGGAGTCCTCATCCTGAAGGTGAAGCGACAGCCTCAGGTCTTCCTCCACTTCTTCGAACGCAGTTCTGTTGTGCCTGGCTTTAAGCTTTTCCTTTGCGATCTGTTTCATGGAGCGCATATATGGGCTCCCATCCTGTAATACATATCTGAGGGAGAAAACACAGGAGTATGTCTTGGGGGTGTAAACCAGCCTCCCACTTTGTTTCCTCTCCAACAGATAGCTGTCCTGCTTCTGCCCAGTTCGTGTGTTCCCTCCCAGCAGCCCGGGACTCTGCTGGCTGTGCCCTGTTTCTGGTGGGGATGAATGCCATTGGTTTTGTCTAGACATCCAGAGAAGACTACGGAGAAAAGCACCCAGGAGGAATGGATGGACATGCAGAGGGCATGTGAGCTATGTTCTCAGTTGCAGTGCCCCTAACTTTAATTCCTTCTTTGAGAATCTTACCCATGCCCCAAAGGCCCCAACTATAATTCTAAAGCAGCCAATTCCAGCCTGTGCAACCAAATGTAGTCCTGACTTACCAGTCCTTTTCTGAACACTGCTATAAGACCATCTTCAAACACACTGCAAGACTCTTATTAGACAGCTGGAGTTTGTTAGAGAAAACACTATTACAGTGCCATGCAAAGGTATACACACTAAAATCTCTAGGTCTGCCACTAAATCACGGCGCCACAGGCCTTCTGAGAGTCAATTCCAAAAGCCCTATTTTCTCATCATTTGGGAGAACCGATGGCCATAACTATCTGGGAATTACTTTCCCTAGAGGTCGAAAGGTTTCTCAGAGACCCTGTGAAAGGTAAGGACTGGGGACAGCGACCAAGTGGGCTCTCTTTCCTCCTACCTTGTTCACTCTGATAATTCCCATTTTAGTTCTTATTTCTTCATGATTCTCTACAAGAGTTTATTTGCAGAAAGGGTCCTATGGCTTTTTAAGAAGTCTAAAATGAGTGAGTTCCGTGACAGCCAGACAGTTATACAGAGAAGCACTGTCTCAAAGAAACAAACAATACCAACCGACCAACCAACCAAAGAAACAAAACCAACCAAAGAAGTCTAAAATGTCATTATTCTATAATCTTTGACTTACTTCAGTTCCTCCCCACCATGAAATGTCATATTCTCCTTTTACATTCAAATTTCATTTGGTTAGCGTTTACCAAATGCCAGTTTTACATAGGGGCCATGGCAGTGTGGTGTGGTGTGGTGTGTGAGGTAAAGAGCCTTTCAAGAAACGTGGAAACCAAGGAAGCACCAAACAGTCACTATTCTGCAAGACAGAACGGTATAATAAAAGTACCCAAGGCTTGTAAGAAACAAGTGGATGGAAATTCACCAAGGTGGCACTCAAGCTGAGGGTTAAAGAATGACCTGGAAAAAAGGGGGAGGAAGGAACAGACAGTAAAGACGTGACAGCCTGCTGTCTGAGAAACAGCAATCTGATGATAAGATTCATACCGCGAGCTCCTAGACATCGGGGCTGTTTTCACCCTAGAGTTTAGTAGTTAGTAATAAGATCCTGATCTGGAAGTTTTTAATCACAGAAGTCCTTTTAATCACTAAAATGCTTTGAATCTGATAGCCAACAGGGATGGGTTTAACAGCAAGAAACAGCAAGGATCAAAGCTTCGAGGATTCATGGCTAAAAAGTCATAGAGAAATCCCTTGTATACAACAGAAACTACCATTCCTACCCAATTCTGAAACTATATAGGTTGATCCCTTTTGTTGTGGTTTTGTGTACATGTGTACGTGTGTGTGTGTGTGTGTGTGTGTGTGTGTGTGTGTGCTCGAGCCTGCCTGAATAGTCAGAGACAACGTGTGTAAGTCAGCTCTCTCAAACTCAGTGGAAATATTTTACCCTCTAAACAATTTGGCTTCCTCCATCACATACATCCTTTTTAAAATTTTTTTTGTTTGTTTGTTTTTTTGTTTTTTTTTTGAGACAGGGTTTCTCTGTGTAACAGCCCTAGCTGTCCTGGAACTAGCTCCTGTAGACCAGGCTGGCTTCGAACTCATAGAGATCCACCTGCCTCTGCTTCCCGAGTACTGGGATTAAAGGCATGTGCCACCACTGCCTGGCTAAAAATTATTTTTTAAGATTGATTTTTAATTAGTTTTAAGTATGTGTTTCTGCATATGGGCATGTGGATGTGGATGTGTGGTGCCTGTGAAGGCCAGAAGTGTCAAAACCCATGAGACTGGAGTTACAGATTGTTGTGAGCCACGATCCACACAGTGGCTGGAAATTGAATCTATGTTCTTTAGAAAAGCAGTCAGGATTCCTAACCGCTGAGCCATCTTTCCAGTCTCCCGCACAGACACCCTAACATTCAGCCTGTATCACAGGCTTCTCGAGAGCATGACGAGAATAGTACATTTACAGAGCATGTATTATGGTCACATGCAATTCTAAACACACTTTCTTCCCTTTCAGTTTTAATTTTTAAGTTTTTTGAGACTGGGTTTCTCTGCATAACACTCCGGGCTGTCCTGGAACTCACTCTGTAGACCAGGCTGGCCTTGACCTCACTGAGAGGCACCTGTCTCTGCTTCCCTGAGTGCTGGGATTAAAGGCGTGCGCCACCACAGCTTGGCTAGGTTTTAATCTTTAGCCAAGTAGGTACTTATAAAGGCCAGGAGAGAGAATCATATCTTTGGAGCTGGAGTTACAGGCAACTGTGAGCCACCCATCCTAACCAGTCCCCCAACTGGGAACTGAACTCAGGTCCTCTAGAAAAGCAGCAAGTGTTCTCTTTTGCTACTCTAGTTAATCTATTACGCTACTAGTTCCTCACACAGCCCTTGTGACCCAGGGAAGTGCTGTATTAGCAGATCTGTTTGACGCACAATGAAACTGAGCTCGGAGACACTAACTTACCTGTCAGAGTTAGTTACTAAGAAGCAGAACTTAAATACCAAAAGTTTGTTTGCTAACAGAAGGAGGAAAACAAAAACTCAATGGAAACATTAAATGAAAGACTAAAGGCAATTGGAAAGGACGGTTAGTAGTATCTTGCACACTAAAGATTAACAAGAAGTGTGTTTTCAAAGATTTTTGATGAACTTCAATTAATATCTTCCTTACCTTGTCATGGCAATTGCATCCTCCAGAAAAAACTGATCAACAGGAAATGCACGACCTAGAAAAAAAGAAAATAAACTAGAAAGGCATCAGACTACCCAGGAAGGTAGCTGGAAATGTGTGTGCACGTGTGCACACTTGGGCGACTGTGTGTTTGTACACACTATCTATATATTAAAACAATACTTGGAATAACAAAGTACTATTAGTTCTGTGTTCTTGGAAGTATTTTGTTATTTGTCTTTTGAAACATGGTCTCTCTACATAGCCCTGACTGTCCTGGAACCCACTATTTAGACTAGGCTGGTCTTGAACTCAAAGTGATCCCCTTGCCTCTGTCTCCTGAGTGCTGGAGTTAAAAGTATACACCACTACACCCAACTTAAAAATATTCTTAAAAAGATTTTGATGACAGAAATTTGTAGGTGTAAGTTCTAACTAGCAGAGAGAACATAAGTGGGCAGCAAGGGGATGATAATTCCTAACGGGACTTTAAAAATTCATCACACTGTTTCTTCCCTCCCCACACAGAGACTTGAAGACCCAGCGTGCGCTTTCTCCTTCTCTTTGATTGCCACCACTTGCAAAACAAGCTCCAATAAAGCTATTATTTCAGTCGGTGTTTCCAAACTGTCCCTGTGGGTCAATCAATGGTAGAAGGACAAGCCCAGGCTCAGAATGGTGACTATCTCACAAAGAGGCTGCGAAAGCACCACAAGCAAACAGACTGTCCACCTCCCTGTCTCCAGAAGGACCAGTATCTGAGATTTAGCACAATCCATGAGTGAACAAGTATGGTATAAATAGGCATATTTTCCCTTTTTATAACAAATTATTCCTGAAAACATACATTTTGATGTTAAACACACAGAATGCTAGAAATCCTAAGAACTAGGACTTTAAAAGGTCACACACACAATTAAAATCTGGCAAGTGGATAAATGACCTCCTCCTTGGCTGCTTAACACTGGGACCTTCTGTTGTAAACGAACCTCTTCTCTAGACGGGAAGAAATGCCTCCTGTTTAGAATGGACTCTGAAGTAGCGACCCTGGCTTACTTAGAGGGATGCACAGCAACAGAACGAGACTGGTGAACAGTGTGCTTTGGTTACCTGGAATAGTGATAACTGGGCAATAGCTGAAATACTTTGAGAAGAGCCCAGCATCCAGAGTTGCACTCATGAGAATGACCTGGAGGGTTGGTCTCTGCGACACAATGTCCTTCAAAACTAGCAGTAGGAAGTCACTAGAGACAAGAAAAGACACCCGTGGGTCAGACACATGCGACATGTGAGAACTAACGGCTTTTGTGTATTTGGAGCATTTAAGACTTAGGCGGGAAATGTAAAACTTAGATGTGTCACAGTCCTGGTTGTGAACAGTTTGAATTTAAAAATATAAAACACCAGTTCTCTTCAACTAAATTCAGTGCAAGGCCGATCAAAATACAGATAGGATTTATTGCTGAAGTTGATCGTTCTGATTCTTTATATCTACAGGTATACAACGTACACATATAAAGATTTTCATTATAGCATTGTTTGTAAGAGCAAAGTGATGGAAATGGCAAACGGTAGCAGTATCCAGTCTACAGAATGGCATGCAGCTGCTAAAAGTCTAAGCTAGAGGTCTAGATGAGGAGCAAACACTCCTCAGCCTACTGATAGTGGAAACCAGAGCACAAACCCTTCTGTACTTAGGGAGTGACGCATGCTGCAGGAGAGCAGGACTCCAAGTCATCCGCACAGGTCTACGCGAGCCCACAGCTGCCTGCTCTCTCATCAATAGGGTAGAGCCTGCTTCTGTTCAAATGGCAACCCCAGTGTGCCGTTCTTCTCCAAGTCCTCCGGGGAGCTCTCAGTGAGCGCTCACTAACGTGGCTCTCAGTGGCATGGCCGCACCCACTCTCATTTCCTGCTGCTCTAACTAAGAGTCAGGCTTCCATTCTTCCTGTCCTTGAGGAACGCAGCTCAGGGTCTTTGCATGCCAGTAACTTGCCAGAATGAGTTTCTGCTAACCATTCTCACAAATGGTCCCTTACTTCCTTCAAGTCTTTACTCAAAACACATGTTCAGCAAGGCCTTTCCTGGCTAATCTATTAACATTTCAAATGAACCCACATCCCACCATGTATTTCGTTCCTTCTTAGAACTTGAATACTTTGTGTTTTACTTATCTACTTCATTATTAAGCTCCCCTAACAATCGGAAGGCAAACTCTCAAGGACAAGGACGTGGGGGTGTGTTGTCACTCACTACCCCCACGCTCATGGCACACCGAGTGCTCAATGAATATTTATTAACTTACAGAATAAATACATCTTTCTATAAGACACCATCTGAAAACAAAAGATTTCTAATAAAGGAGCAGGTAGTCTTTCATTCATGTTTTCTGTTTGGTTTTTCAAGACAGTGTTTCCTCTGTGTAGCCCTGGCTGTCCTGAACTCTCTGTAGACCAGGCAAGCTGAGCTCCACCTGCTTCTGCCTCTGAGAGCTTAGATTAAAGGGTGCTACCTGGCTCCCTTCTGTTTATCTCTTTTGCTAGCTGAATCTTCAAGCTTGTTTGCTTTAATTTTTTTAAATCAGTTTCATAATTTGGCATTTTCAGCTTCCTTAGTCTGACAGATTTACTTTAGGTCTTCTCAGGATATCTGTAACAGCATTTTTTGGAAGGCCCTTTATTCCTACAACCTTTCTTTTCTACTAGTTTGTTATTCTTTTTGCACAACATTTATATGACAAACTGATTAACATCATGTGTCTATGTGGCCTTTGCTCAGTTTCTAAAAGTGTTTCTTTTCCTTTTTTTCCCCCCCAGAGACAGGGTTTCTCTGTAGCTTTGGAGCCTGTCCTGAAACTCGTTCTGTAGACCAGGCTGGCCTCAAACTCACAGAGATCTGCCTGCCTCTGCCTCTTGAGTGCTGGGATTAAAGGTGTGCACCATCATTGCCCATCCTAAAAATGTTTCTTAATGATTTCTAATTCTTTAAAATAATTTTAATGTACTAGCCAAGCGGTGGTGGCGCGTGCCCTTAATCCCAACACTTGGGAGGCAGAGGCAGATGGCTCTCTGTGAGTTTGAGACCAGCCTGGAACCTGGACCCTGTCTTGGAAAAATAAATAAATAAAATGAATTCCAAATGCCTTATTATGATTTTTAAGGCCTTTGAAGATTTGGCTCCTGGTTCTCTTTTCCCTGTCTTCTTCTCTTTCATTTGTTACTGCTCAACCATATTGGCTTTCCTCAGCTCTGGCCTCATCACGCCCATTCCCACGGCAGAATTCTCATCTGTGCTGTCTTTGTTCCAAGTGTTAGAGGGATGCCCTTTCATACTGCAGCTTACGATTTAAATGTCATCTCTTCAGAAATGTGGTCTCTGACCATCTTATTGTGTCACTTTTTGTGGTTTCTCATTTCTTTTTCCTCTCAAACTGTGAAGATGAGGAGGAGCTTCTTATGTTTGTATCCTCAGCAACTACCACACCACTAGGCACTAGAAGTTGGCATTATAAACTTACGGATGATCCAAAGGACAGAGGAAGCACATATGGACCAACCCTGGGGACATGGCATGGCGCCTAAGAGGCTCTCCTAGTGATGGGCATGCCCTCTGCAACCACCGCACCACAGACCTTGGCGATCAAGACAGCACTCCTCCCTCCAACTTAGCCATCCTCAGGCTCTCTCACCACTAGTCTATGAAACTCAGCTGGAAGCAGGGGACAGTTCTTCAGCCATGTCTTCGCTTTACAGGAGAGGGTGTCCATGGAAACCTTCCTTTTACCTTTCTTCTGTCCTCTCATGCACTTCGTCGACAATGATGTGGGTGACTCCTTGCAAGGTGGCGTCTCCTTCCAGCCTCCTCAGCAGCACGCCTGTGGTGCAGTATAGCAGCCTGGTGGCCGAGGACTGACACAGAAGAGAACAATGTCACAGTTAGTGAGGTTTTGAAAAAGCAACTATTGGTGAGCCAAACTGAATGAGTATGAATGAACTTAGAACCACCAGCAATTTCATTTAATATGAGATAGTAACTACAGCTTCTGGCTAAGGTCAACATACACCCTCTTCTGCCTCATATTAAAACTTTAAGACTCTCAAAAAAAAAAAAAAAAGCAACCCAACACCTAAAACTGCTTTGCTTGTTTTTTTGAGATAGGGTGGATATATATAGCCTAGGTGTTCGGAAGCCCACTATGTAGACCAGGATGCCTAGAACACAGAGATCCTTCTGCTTCTGCTCTCAACTGCTAGGAGTAAAGGTGTGCACTACCAGGCCTGGTTATGAAACATTTCTTTAAAGTTTAAGTCAAGTCTACATTTGCTTCAGGTTTAATACAGGTTTAATCATTTCTGCTAATTAAGAATAAAAGCCAGGGCTAGAGAGAGGGCTCGGCAGTTAGGAGCACTGTTGTTTTTTAGAGGACCCAGGTTTGAGTCCCAGCACCTACACAGCAGCTCACAATCATCCATAGCTTCAGTTCCAGGGATTCCGTGCCCTCATCTGGCCTTCGCGAACACCAGGCATGCACACGGTGCATAGACGTACAAGCAAGCAAAACATTTATATATGTATATAACACACACATATATAATAAAATAAATCTAAAAAAAGGTTTTAAAAAATAGAAAGCCTATATAAAACATATTTGGTGCAACCAGCTAAGAGTTCCTACATCAGAATGTTTCTCAAGGGATTCCAACCCCACTGAAGGTGATTGTTAAGTTAATAAACTGTAGGTCCATATCCCTAATTGCCTGTCAGTATCCAGATCCCCCAAATTCTTTATGTCTGAAAACTGATTTCCTATGATCAGCAAGTAAGCAGTGCACACACACCTTGACACTTTCCAGCCGGATCTGGTATCCCACAGTCAGACCCACCCTTTCTGCTCTTTCCTTAGCAACGCGCTCAGCAACAGAGACTGCAGAGATTCGTCGGGGCTGGGTACAGATGATGTTCGCCACCCTTTCAGGTGGCCCGTGCAGAGAATTATCCAGAATAAACTGTGGAATCTGTGTGGTTTTTCCACATCTGTATGTCAAAACAAAGGAGTCCTAAAATGAAGTTTTCAAGGGCTAGTTAACAAAGCAATCACGGGCAACAAGGATCTAAAGCTGACGAGAGAGAGCCAGGCTGTTCAGCTAGTGCCTAGTGCTAACACCTACTTAGAACCCAGACCTAGTAAATCCTAGGAAAGGGGCCTCAAATGATAGTCTAATATCACTGATAAAATGAGGGCCATGGAAAAGACACAAGTAAGAGCAAAAAATGCCTCTAGGGATGTGAACTCTAGATATAGATGCCAAAGAAAAAGAGAATTAGCTTATGATCTAAGTATTCTAGGGGGCTTCGAGAGAAAGAGTGCTTACTGTGCAACATGAGGACCTGAGTTCGAATCCTCAGTACTCAGGGAAAAAGCTGGACATGATTGTGCATGCTCCTGTAACCCAGTGTTGTAAGGGGGGGACAGAGGATCAATGGACAATGGGGCTTGCTAGCCTTCAGCCCAGTCAGGTTCAGTGAAACCCTGCTAAGGGATTAAGGCAGACAGTGCTAGAGCAGCCCACCTGACATCCTCCTACGGCCTTTCTACTCATGAGCTTGGACACCTGTACACAATCCCTGTCTCCCCCCACCAACAACGTTTCATAGTCTTCTCTTTGATGTAGATTGACTTGGCTATAAATGAACTAAAATAAAAAACTATGAGAAACTAGAAGATATAAAATTACTACGATCTTAGTTGAGTCTCAGCACAAATAGAATAATTCTTTGTACAACCCTGAATAAAAAACCAATTAAGCCCGAGAGTTGCCCAGGACAAGCAGGCTTCTTTCCAGTGAGAGTATGGAACAGGAAAAAAAAAATGTTACTTACGTTGTCGCTAAAAAGAACAAAACAAAACAAAACAAGGAACTTTAAGGAAAGTAGGGTAAACGCAGAAGGCGTGTGCTTTCAAGCCTCTGACTTCACAACGGGCCCTGCGTCAGCAAAGGGCTCCCGAGGCAGAGGCGCACACCTACAAGATGAACGTTGGAGTGTGGCCCTGAGACTACAGAAGCTGCCTGACAACCGCCTACACGGGTGTCATTTAATACCTGACAGCGAGAACAAACGTGCGGACAGCATCACCACAGCTGTTTCTACGCTGATCTGGTTACGGTGCCAGTGTCCCTGTGCAACGTGCACTAAAGCCGCGTTGGAAGTAAAGCACGTTCTTACCCAGTCATACCACTTATGACAACCACTTGGTGCTTGCTCAACAGTTTAAGAATTGTTTCTCTTTCTTCCCAAGCAGGCAGTGTTCGTCTCTCTTGCAGAATTGAGTAGAACTGTCTGGACATCTAATAAAAGTCAAGGAGAAGGCAGCGGTTGAGTCACGTGTGGTCGCCTTTCACAGAACTCCACTCAGCGCCCCACAGCGAGCTGCACCCCTCCTGCTTCCTCTTTAGCAGTTCGCTCTCATGGCTCAGACACGGCAGCCTGAATGCAGGGGACTTTGGTTAGCAGGCTGGCTGCTGAGCCCACAGTGGAATCACAACCATCTTCCCATCTAAATAAACTGAAAGGCATAAGCTTCTCTTGCTTAGCGCTTATCTGATCCTTCCCAGTGGGAATATTTCTGTCAACACTGCAATAAAGCCTGTGTGTCCACACACGCACTGTCCAATACAGTAACTCTGGCCACATGGAGCTACTGGCCCTTGACATGCAGGAAGCTCTTCTGGGGCACCGAACTTATCTTAATGAGTAAGTGTAAGAGGCCAAAGCTGGTTAGGAGCTGCTGCAGTAGACAGCGTAGCTCTACACCATATCAACATAGGAGCAATTGCCAAGGCTTTCTGTTTGGCCGTTCACCATAACTACAGAAATCAGTTTCACACTATAGGTCAGTACTCCGAACACTGCATTGTATGCTAATCCTATGGGGGAAGAGAAGACGGAGGGTGGACAGTTAGTAAGTACAGGGTTGGCTAGGAGGGAAACTTCTAATGTTCTCTAGCACAGCTCAGGCTGAAGTGGGAAAACAAAGCCATTCTGTGCTACACAGTAAGTTCTGGCCAGCATGGGCTAGAGACCCTGTCTTTAAAAATAATGTTTTTTGTTTTTTGCATATATCAAAATTGCTATATAAGGATTTTTTTAATGTTCCCAAAGAATTGATAAATGTCTAAGGTGACAGATAATACAAGCACTAATCATACATATACATGCACTAAAATGCCATACAAGTATGTCTGTGTCAACTAAAAATAAAATAGAGTTGGAGAGACAGTTCAGTGGTTAGGAGCCTGTATTGCTCTTTCAGAGGGTGAGAGTTCAAGTCCCAGCACCCACATCAAGTGGCTCATAACCATCAGTTAAGCCTAGCTCCAGAGATTCAATGCCCTCTTCTGATCTATGAAGGTACCTGACCTGCACACATGTGGTGCACATAAACTCACATAGATATAACACAAATGAATAAATAATAATATTCTTTAAAACTAAAATAAATTTTAAATGAAAAAATAATTTATTATATTCTGGAACAATATAGAATTATACTATTATCATTTCCTGCATCATGCAAAGGCACACTTTTCTTGTTCCTATCTCTTTCTTTCTTTCTTTCTTTCTTTCTTTCTTTCTTTCTTTCTTCTTTCTTTCTTTCTTTCTTTCTTTCTTTCTTTCTTTCTTTCTTCCTTTCTTTTTTTGGTTTTTCTTGACAGGGTTTCTCTGTAGCTTTGGAGTTTGTCCTGGTTGAACTCACAGAAATCTATCTGCTTCTGCCTCCTGAGTGCTGGGGTTAAAGGCAAGCATCACCACTGTCTGGTTTCCTATTGTTTTCTTTACGGTATTATTATATACATTTTTATGATCTATTGGCATTATAGTAAATACTTGATAATATATAAAAATATAAAAAATCACAGAAGGGTCCTCAGACATCATCAGTTAATCTAATCCACAAATTCAATAACTAACTGTTGCCTTACATCCAACTGGGTCCCCCAATTTACTTACGGTTTCTTTTAAAACAATCTTCATGTCAATGTGAAAACAGCACAGCCTTTAGAGACAGCGGGCTTGAATCTCTGTTACCACTTACTATCTATGTGACCTCAGGGACGTTATTTATCGTGAGTCTACAAAATGGCATATGAGTCTTTTCCCCTTCTCTTAAACATGGATTTTCTAATGTAAATCACAGTATTAATATTCCCTCCAAATGTTAAATTAGCTATTGCACCAAAGATTCTGAGACAATTTGGTATACACACAGCATTTGATATTCGCCAGCTGAGGAGTGTTCTCAATGCACCTAGCACATGTACCTAAATCTGCAGTAGCATGTAGTAAAGTTGCAGTAGCATGTAGTAAATCTGCAGTAGCATGTAATAAAGTTGCAGTAGCATGTAGTAAAGTCTGTCCACTCGGGGTGATGGTGAGGTGGTGGTGGCTCATTCCTGTGATATATAGCAAGATTTTGTTCTAAAGGCCAAAACAAACAAACCCAGCCAAGTGGTGGTGGTGCTCACCTTTAATCCCAGCACTCAGGAGGCAGAGGCAGGCGGATCTCTGTGAGTTCAAGGCAGCCTGGTCTACAGAGTGAGTTCCAGGACAGCGAGGGCTTTACATAGAAACCCAGTCTCATCAGGGATGGAGGGGCTAGGGGAGTGTGGGGGGGGCACGGCAGAGAAAAGGAAAAAATGGCTGGCTGGCTGGAGGCTGGAAGGGGTGAGAGAAGGAGTTTTATAACCACCAGAGAGAACCAGAAGCTGGGAGGAAGGGTGGCCAAAGCATCTCAATCGCTGCATCCAGACTTGAGGGAGGTGGTGCTGGCCCTTGTATAGTACCTGTTTCAGCCGGAACTGCTTGCAGATCCTACTGTTTTCAGCATATACTGACTTTGCAGGCCACTCATATTTTTTGTAACTCTTTTTCTTAAGGTTCACATAGCTTTCATTCTCCACTATTGGTGTAGGACTTTCACCCTCATCTGCATCCTCCTCCAGTTCTGATAATCTTTCCGCTTGAATGGAGAAGAAAAAGACATTTTGAGTTAGTCCTTCCTTTAGGAGAGGAAGAAACTTGCTAACAAAGTAACAACTACAGAATTATGAGACAAAGCAAGTGCTGAAGCTTGAATAAAACAAGTCTATTCATTCCAAACTTCTACTCTCCTAGAACAAATGGTGCTAATAAACCAAAGTAACAACAAAGCTTTGTTTGGCAGGGGAGGTTTGAGACACGGTTTCTTCAGGTAGCCCTGGAACTCACTCTGTAGACCAGGCTAGCATCAAACTCAGATATCCATATGCCTCTGCCTCCCAAGTGCTGGGATTAAAGGCGTGTACCAAAAACAAAGCTTTCAATTCAAGGAATTAACAAAGAATGTTTTAGCTACTTGCAAGTGTCCCCCAAATTCAATAGTATAAAATGACCCACATGTCTATTAAATGATCCCCTGATCCACAAAATGTGGTATATCCATGTAATGAAATCTCCCTCAACAACAAAATGGAATGAATACATACTACGGCATGAACGTGCTTTGAAAACATTATGCGAAGTGAAAGAACCCCTCTTCCAAAAGCTTCCTATCATACGATTCCATTTCTATGAAATGCTTACGTAGGCATAGACTGATATGGGACTAATGAAAACAGGTCTATTTCAAGGTAAAAGGTAGTGGTTATAATTGTGCAACTCTAAAACATAAAAAAATACTGAATGATATCCTTTAAGTACATGAGTTTTATGGTATATAAATTACATCTCAGTAATGGTTCTGAAAAGCTGGATTAGGAATGGGTGCTTGCCCGCCACGAGAAAAGCCAGAGGTTCAGACCCCAGGGCCACCAAAAACAAATAAATCAAAAAACCTCCCATGACATAAAATTTGCCATTCCCCAGGGACACGTGAATACGATATATAGAAGCTGCTGTTCAGGAGCGAGGCAGGGGCTGAGAAGTCCACCTAGCTAACTACCCAGCATGCTCTCTACTTAGACATTTACCAGGAAGCTCTGTTTTCCTTCTCACAGTGCTGCTGCTCAAACCTAGGACCTCAGGCAAGCCAGGTAGACTCCCTGCTGCTGAGCTGCATCTCTACCCCTAGCCATGAAACTCTTATGAACCATGGGAAGTTGCACTTTCCCGGACAATAACAAATGAAAGTAAATTCTTTAATGAACGCCGAAGAGGAGCTCACGGTGTAAGAATCTTCGTGACAGAGTAGACAGAGCCAGTGGCCTACATATATATTTATACTTAAAGATTCATAAAAACAGCATTTTGATCAATTGTTTTTACTAGCCTAGAATAATAAAAAACAGGAAGGAATGGATACCATCTATAAAAAGTAAACATATGAAACCCAGTTAACTGAGACTGTCTGAGCTCAGTCTACAGAGTCAGGAACAAGGCAGACCTTTCCCAGCTCTGCTCATCATCCAGGTCGTCATTCTCTACACAGTGACAATAAACTTATCCATCAGCCCAGCCTTTCTCTCTAGGGTGCTCAACAAAGTGACACAGCTGGATTCACAATGAAGGGTACGGCAGCGACCAGTCAGTGACCCTCATCTAGCCTCATGTTTTACTTTTAAACTTGTCATTCTGAATGCTGAACTTGTCCTGTCCTCATCAACATTTACATACCTTCTGGAACTTGATTGGAAAGAAAAGGGCTTGGAACCACTGGTCTGCGGTAGGCAGGCTTAACTGGCTTGGTCTCAGAAGGGTCCAGAGAGGAGTTCACAGGAGGATCGCTGTACTTGTGACGAGTGTTTGTCAGTAACTTGACAATCTCAGATTCTTCTTCTAAGAGGGTCATCAGAGAATACACAGCAGGTTCTGAGGTCTTTGCGAACTCCAAGGCCTTGCCATAAAGGAACTCAGAAATATGTAAACGACAAGCCAGAGGTAGGTTCTCATTGGTGGAATAGAATGCCACAAGGGGAGCTTGGGAGGGATACTTGTGGTCTTCAGAAAAGCGAATCTCAAGCTCATAGAGAAAAGCTGTATCGTCGTCAGCGTTAAGATGAGAATCATCTACGATTCTCTCTGCTCTCCCAATGATTTGATTTGGGGGCACTTCATGTTTGAATTTGCATTTTGATCCAAATTTACAGTTTCCTTTAAGGTAAAATCTACAGGTCTCAGGTGAAGTGTCCCGCACACTGTTGGCACCTCCCTTCTGCTTGGACTTACAGAATTTATTTGTCAAGTACTCTAGTTCCAGTCCAATGGTCCAGACTCTGTGCTGAATTCTTTCTATAAACTTTTCTCCACAGATTGACCTGAGAGCGAGCGCCTCCTCCTGTCTCTGCTCCACACACTCATGCAAGCTTATACGAGTAGCTGCCTCGGACAGTCTCATCCTCTCTCCAAATTTCTCCGAAAAACACTGGTCCAGCAGATGCTCTAGCGCTGCCCCCAGATCTCCATCACAAACCCTCAGGGCCAAATGACAGTGTTCAGTGTTGAAACCATACCTGGTGAGGGCAAAACATGACAAAAATGTCATGTAGGAAGTCTTATTACAACACCAAAGTGGAATTCACTTAAATACACACATATGAAGTCATAACTGTGGACAGCTACAGTCTGTACTTTGAAAAAGCATCTTTGATGACACTAATCCTTCCATCCTAAAAGACAATTTTAGTCATATTGGGCTCTGCTGGCACCACGACAGGACATCACAGAAAGGTACTCAGGTTTATAACATGATGTAGCTGGTTTGACTTCTCCCAGCATCCGTAAATGATAAAAGCGGTTACCTGGAAAGTTTTTGCACTGCAAACGGTGAGACTGTAAGTTCTGGAACAGGAGACTCTACTTCTTCTGGGCCAATATATTCCCAAGCAATGGGGTCAGGAATAAAGGCAGGCTCTTGTCCAGCCGGCCAACACTGCTCGTCATCACATTCTGGCTCCTCCTCTTCCTCCTCCTCCTCTTCCTCCTCCCCAGAGATCTCTTTTCTAGAGAATGGGGCATTTTCACAAGTTAGATGTTAATGTCTACTTAGATCAGAGAAAAGTTCTGCAAGGGTCTAAGAACTGAATTCACGGAGCCAAGGACAGGGAACCCGATTGCTCTCCAGTTGCTAACTTAATCTGGTAGCGAGCCACTACTTTCTGTCGTGGGGATAGTAGTTCCTAGGTATACACATGCCATCAGGGGAAGAGTCGTTCCTAGGTAAACACACGCCATCAAGCCTAGGTAAAGCTGTCTATAGAAACAAATTCTACGGAGCGTCTCAATAACCCTGCTATATATTACTGGAGTCCCCATTTTTCCAATGATTAATTGAACCTCAGAGAGGATTAGTAACTAAGGTTACCCAGAAAGGATCAACAAGATTTTCACCCTAGATTTCTAAGCCCAGAGCTGAAGGGGAAGCCCCAGCCAATCACCTTGTTTGTAGGGCGTGATCCCCTTAGGCTAATATTTACTTATAAAATCTTGCGGTGTGCTTCCCGCCTCCTCTGTTTTTCCTGTGCTTTGCGGGAACTCTGGCTTTGTAAGTCCCCCCTTTTCTTACCTTTATTAAAGCTGAATATTTTATAATAAAGCTAGTCTGGTTAATTCTATCGACCACACGCCAACACAGAGCCTGCACTCTTATCCACAGAAGCCATCTCTTGCTCTACTTATTCGGAGATACTATCCCTATCTTTTTCCTAGGTCTGAGGTCTGAGACAAACAAAACTCTTGAAGAAGACAGAACATTCTCTCTCTCTCTCTGTCTCTCTCTCTGTCTCTCTCTGTCTCTGTCTCTCTCTCTCGACAGGGTTTCTCTGTAGCTTTGGAGCCTATTCTAGAACTAGCTCTTGTAGACTAGGCTGGCCTCGAACTCACAGAGATCTGCCTGCCTCTGCTTCCCGAGTGCTGGGAATAAAGGCGTGAGCCACCAGCGCCTGGCTGACAAAACATTTCTACTCCTGACTGGCCCTCACTAGTTCTATCAAAGGATTTATTTATTTATTGAACTGCTCAGGAAAGAGCCTAGGCAAACCACTCATGATTTCTAGCAAGCATAAAAAAAATGAGCAAACCTCTTCAACTGATGATGTAACACACAGAGCAGTTAAAATGCAGAGTTAGAGAGGAGGCAGCTAAGATCTCAGAATGAGCTGGGTAATGGTGGCAGAGGAAGCGGAGGCAGGTTATCTCTGTGAGTTCAAGACAAGCCTCGTCTACAGAGTGAGTTCTAGGACAGGCTCCAAAGCTACACAGAAAAACTGTTCTCAAAACCAAACCAAACCAAAACAAAACAAAAGATTTCAGTATAGTGAAAGCTCTTTCGCTTGGGCAGAAGGTACAATATTAAAGCTTGATCTAGGAACTTCCAGCACCCACAGGGCAGCTCACGATTGTCTGTGACTCTAGTTCTAAGGACTCTGACCCTTCTGGACTTTTCTGGTACCAGTCCTGCAGTTGTGCTAGACAACCGCAGGCACACCAGCCATATCCATAAGAAAAGAACAACAACAACAACTTCTCTTACTGGGGGTTGGTGGGTGGGAAAGCTGAGGCAGGAGGACTGCAATGAGTCTGAAGCTGGGCTGCGTTAGCAAGAACCTACCTCAATATTTGCTCTTAGAACAAGTCTCCTACTTGCTCACACAGGTTTTTAGTTGGAATGTTTTCAACAAAGCACCAACAACCCATATTAGCAAGGGCCTGGAGAAAAAAACCGAGGCAATCTGTGTTACTGCTCAGGGTGGGGCGAGACATACTCGCTCTAAAACTGCCGCTGGGTAAATTGCTCTGCTATTTCTTTGGCCTCACTTTCAGCTAAAGCACACTGAAAGTGTACAGTTGCGTAGGCTTACAGCAGCAGTTCTGTGGGGTCACAAACTGCTGCATGTCAGCATATCAGACATTCTGCAAATCATAACAGCAGCAAAGTTACAGTTATGAAGTTGTGATGGAATAATTTTATGGTTGGGGGTCGCTACAACATGAGGAACTGTTTTAAAGGGTCACAGCATTAGGAAGAACCACTCCACACTGATCCAGCACCCAAAGCTGAACAGGCGTCTGCACTGTCAATGTGTTCTCAGTATAAAATGTACTCAAATAAGATACTTTACTCAGATCCCACGTCCACATCCTGTTCCTGCAGGTCTCTCAGAAGGGCTTTCACCTTCTCCTGATTCTCTGACGTCATGTGCAGTGTCTGGAGAGGCACTTTGGCTCTGGGCTTCCACTTAGGCCGCGGCTCTGCTTTGCTTTTGTTATTGTCATTGGGCCTGAGTTAAAATTACACGTTCATGAGCAAAACTTTGATACACTCATTCAAGTTCCTACATACTCACACACTCACATGGACACACACACACACACACACACACACACACTCACACGGACAGCAGATGGCGTCAAACGTGGAGAATGCATTTTTCTACAGTATCTACTGGATTTTCCCCAAACTCCTTCAGTCTGCAAAGTTCTCAGCCTGTTCTCTGACTGACATTTTTAAGAGTGCAATCTACTACCTTACAGAAATCCTCATCACCTGTATTTGTCTCATCATTTCTTCAGAATTTGTGTTTTTTTTTGGGGTGGAGGGGGGTTACATGCTCTTACCTCACAGACACTTATCCACACATCCCTATACTTTACCCTCTTCCTGTTTGTTTGCTTTTCAGACAGGTCTGGTGGCAAAGGCTGGGGTCAACTAGCTATGTAGCCATGGACACCTGGGCTGATCCTCTGGCCTGCCTCTGCCTCCCTCGTGCTGGGACAGCGGTGTGGTCCACTGTGCTGTCTCCATCCTTGATCTTAGAGTCTATCCTTCCATTTGGACACTATGTCCCAAACTCCCCATCTCCTCCAGTGACTCATCCAGCAGTTATTCCCACTTAATTCTTATTTATCTCACCTTACCTTGCATGGGGCTCAAATGGCCCCAAGGAAAAGATCCAATCTCCCTGGTGTCAGAAAGCCATATACTAAAGTGTGGCCAGAGTGACTGAAATGTTACACACCCCCTTTTCAACCTCTCTGTGGTTTTCTATGTTACCCAAAGCAAAAGCCCAAACCGCACTAATGACCCCGGGCCACTACAGTAGAGCTTCTCTGTTGACTGCCCTGGCCCATGGCTTCTCTGCATTCCCCAGCCTTCTAAGTGCAGCCCTGGCCCAGGGCCTTCCAAGTTGCTCCAGCTCCTCTGCCTTGAATGTTTCTCTCAGACAGGCTCATTGCTTGCCCTTCACCTCTCTTCTTGTCCTTGTTCAAATGATACCTTTTAGAGAGCTTCAACACGACAGCAACTCAGTTCTGGTGTTTTATCCACACATTACTCTGCTGTGGAATATTAGTTGAAGATGTGTTACATCTGTTTATGCTGTGCAATACTTGTTTAATGATACAAAGATGTGCTGCATTCTTTTAGGTTGCAGTTGTGTAACTCTGTAAAGCTGTGTTACTTTGCCTGTCTAAAATACCTGAACAGCTGAACAGCCAAGAGTTAGGCAGGAGAGAGGCATAGGTGGGGCTGGCAGGCAGAGAGAATAAATAGGAAGAGAAGTCTAGGCTTGAGAGAGAAGAAAAGAGAAGGGAAAAAAGATACACAGACTAAGGAAAGGTAAAAAGCCCAGAGGAAACTGTAGTTAAAGAGAATAGGGATAACTTCAGTTGGAAAAACTGGCTAGAAAGCTAAGGCCAGGCGTTTGTAAGAATAAGTCCCTGAGCATTTGTTTGGGAATGGGTGGTCCCCGCAGAGGAAACAACTATGACACTGCACACATTGCTTCCTTCACTGCTCCTCATGGCACTTACTGCCTCCGCCACGCTCACGGCCCTTCTCTCTTTTATGGAGAGGACAATGTTTTACTTATTGCTACAATTCTAGTCTGTAAAACATTACCCAGAACAAAGAAGGCACTTGGTAAATGGCTGTGAATATCTGAACATTTAACACTCTAAGACCTATCGTGTATGAACTTTGAAAAAAAAGATCTGCATTGCACTCAGACGTTAGGTCTTGAGCTAGCAGGTAAGGTGAAAACAGACTTTGAAATTACTCTGAAAAAGCCAGTGACTTATGGCTCATCCCAGTAGAAGCTGAGGGAATGAAGAACCGCTGTGAGCTCTAGGCTAGCCTGGGCTACAGTGCAACCTCGTCTACCACCATCCCAGAAAAAGAAATTACAATTACTCCTTCATATGCCATTATTTGAGAGATATATTGTTCTTAATATGTTTATAATGTCTCAAATAACTTTTATTTTATTTTGTTTTTGAGACAGGGTCTGTAGACCAGGCTGACCTCAAACTCACAGAGATCCACTTGCCTCTGCCTCTTGAGTGCTGGGATTAAATACTACTGCCCAGCTCTGTTTTTTCTTTTCTCTTTCTTTCTTTCTTTCTTTCTTTCTTTCTTTCTTTCTTTCTTTCTTTCTTCCTTCCTTCCTTCCTTCCTTCCTTCCTTCCTTCCTTTCTTTCTTTCGAGAATGGAAAAACATGTAGATTCTCTGGGGAGACAAGTGACAATTGAGCTATTTTAGTAACATGTATGAAGAACATATGTTTAAAATCCTACAATCACAGACTCATTGCAGCAATTGATCTGGTAGCTGGTTTAAGCAACTTAACTTCAATTTGTTTCTCTTTTTCTTCTTTTCTGAATGCATACAGTTGAATTCACTTAGGTTAAAAGTATGCATGGCTTATGATATCATCAAATCTTGCATTCACTTATACTCCTTTCTTACTAATATTCAGACGAGCAATTCCTGTGAATATGTTTATGTGTGTGGTGGCTCTAATGGAGTCTGTCCACTTCTAAGAATCCCATATACAACTTAGTACAGTTTAGGAGTCAATGGGAATTTTATACTTATATTAGGCACATTTACTTGTTGTTTATTCGTTTGTTTTCTTAGACAAGGTTTCTCTGTGTAGCTCTGGCTTTCCTGGAACTTGCTCTGTAGACCAGGCTGGCCTCAAACTCACAGAGATCCGCCTGCCTCTGCCTCCCGAGTGCTGGGATTAAAAGGGTACACTACCACCGCCTGGCAGTCTACAGAATGCTTAAGATTTTAAACTTTGCTGTACTTTTAGCTCTTCTAGTGCTTACTCTTCTATAAACATTTAACTCAATGAATGGTAACATTACATTCAGTCCAGTGTTATAACGTAGTTAAGGTCGGTCAGAATTTAACCTACTTAAAAAAAATTGTGATTTACCACTATGCTTTAAAAAGGTTATAAGAAAGCCAGGCGGCAGTGGTGCATACCTTTAATCCCAGCACTCAGAAGGCAGAGGCAGGTGAATCTCTGTGAGTTCAAGACCAGCCTGGTCTACAGACTGACCTAGTTCCAGGACAGTCAGGGCTACAAAGAGAAACCCTGTCTCAAAAAAAAAAAAAAAAAAAAAACCAAACCAAAAAACAAAAAGTTATAAAAAGAGGGGCTACAGAAATTCAGAAGAGAATTAACTGGACCAGAATTACTCATTCCAACCCCCTTCTTGGCTGTACTACATATTAGGGATCGAAACTGTTTCTGTATCTGAACATTCCAAAAGTACAACAAAAGGCTGGCAAAATGCTCCACTGGGTAAAGGTGCCCGTGACCAAGTCTGACGAGCAGCGTTTGATCCCTAGTATAATATTCCTAACACCTAGGACCCACATGGTAGAAGGAAAGACCCAGCTCCCACGAGATGTCCTTTGATCTTCACATGCACACCACAACACACATGCAAACACCACACACATAGGATGTAGGAAATGCACAATGACCTGGGTGGGTGCTTTGATTCAGTGAAGACACAGAAGTCATCACCATCATCCCAAATCCTGCTTGAGGCCTTTCTACCGCCGCCACCGCCGCCACCACCACCGCCACAGCCGCCCCCGTGAGATTTATTCGCGTGACCCCTGCCTCCTCTTCCTCCTCTAGAAGATCCCTTTCCATCCCCTTTGCCTGGCTTGCCTTTTCTTCTTATGGAAGAACTCATTTTCACCTGAAAGACAAAAAATGAATATAGAAACCATAAACCACATAAATATAGTAGTGGATAAAACTGCTTTAAAGAAATAAACATTTTACATGGGTGAGGTTAGGGGCAGAATGGTTAAATTGCTTCACATAATTTTTTTTTAAACAAATACATGTACCTTAGGACTAATATTTAGCAAATTTCTCTGACCAAGAATGTACATCAGAGACACATGGAGGAAGTTAAACACACAGACATGCCTTTAATCCCAGCATTTGGGGATCTCTGAGTTTGAGGCTGGTCTGGTCTACCTAGTGAGTTCCAAGACAGCCAGGGCTACACAGAGAAACCCTGTCTCAGAAACAATACAAAATAAAAAGATGTATACAATAGACTATAGAGAAATCATCAAAAATACAGTAGGACATATTTAATGACTAATTAAAAAAGAAAGCAGGACAGAGTAAAGTAGAAACAAAGGTACAGATACAAGACATAGTCAACAACAACGAGAATGTTATGATAGACATAACTCCCATTATCTCAATTATAACAGTAAATGTGAATGGAATAAATAATCCAGTCAAAAGATCGTCAGGCTCATTCTTTTTTTTTTTTTTAAAGGAAGGAACCATAAAGTCAAAGATACAAACAAAAGGATGAAAAAGATGAGTTAAATATATGAGAATTTATGTTCCAGATATATTATGTACCAACAAAAAATTACAGGAAAGGAAGAAGAACTATGTGAATATCAGATGAAATAGACTTTAGAACAAAAAAAATGTTACTTGGAATAAAAAAGACACAACATAATGATAAGGAAGATATAACAATTATAAGCATATTTGTACCTAACAATAAAGCACCAAATTCACAAGGCAACAACTATAAGAAATGGAGAAATAGATATTCAGTAACAGTAGCACCCACTTCCCATGATGGTAGAACAGTTGAGGAGCAACAAGGAAAGAGCTCTTTCTCTCTCCCTCTCTCTGAGACAGGATTTCTCTGTGTAGCTCTAGCTGTCCTGAACTCATTTTGCAGATGAGACTGGCCTCAAACTCAATCTGCCCGCTTCTGCTCCCTGAGTGCTGGAATTAAAGGCGGCTACCGCAATACATTTTTTTTTAAGACAGGGTTTCTTTGTGTAGCATTGGCTGTCCTAGAACTAACTCTGTAGACCAGGCTGTCCTCACACAGAGATCTGCCTGCCTCTGCCTCCCAAGTGCTAGGATTAAAGGCGTGGGCCACCACCACCCGGCCTATCTTAATACATTTTTAGAAGATAGAAATAATACAAAACATGCTCTGCCACTAAAATAAAATGAAATTAATAACTAAAACAGGCACAAACTGGTCAACTCACAAATATATGGAAATTAAAACCAGATCTCTTGGCATTTTTAATTAATGTTTTATGTATGTATAGAGTGTTTGCCTTCCTCTCCTACAACTAGAAAGCTCTTTGGAGGCAGCAACTCTGCCTACTTTGACTGCCACTGTACCTCGAGGATATGTAGTATCTCACAGGAAGCAGGAGTTAGACATGTACTGGGGTGTGAATGCATAATTTCTGTGAGAATGAGGATTCACTCATTAATCTGTCTATCCTACAAATACAAGTAACATTTATGTGCCAGATCTTGGGGATTTAACAGCTAAAACAAAATTCATGCCTTGTGAAGATTACTTTCTGGAGGGTATGGTAGATAATAAACGGATAATCAACTAAGTCTGTTTTCCTCTGCTATAACAGAATACCTAAGATTGAGTAATTTACAAAGAATAAAGGTTTAATTTGGGCTCACAGTTCTGAGGGTTAGGAAGTCCAAAACACAATGCATCTCGGCAGATGACAGTCAAGAGCCTTGTAATAGGTCTTGGCAGGGCAGAAGAGAAGAGAGGCAAGAAGGCTTAAGGAAGAGGCAAAATAAGAAGAATTGCTTTGCTTTATAATTAACTATTTCATGAGAATGATTTCTTTCCCCTGAGGTATCAATCTCTTTCAATTACCTAATACTGGTAATCAATTTCAACATGAGTATTTTGTTTGTTTATTTGTTTTGAGACAGAGTTTCTCTATGTAACCCTCCCTGGCTGTCCTGGATCTCTCTCTGGTAGACCAAGTTGGCCTTGAACTCACAGACATCTGCCTGCCTCTGCCTCCTGAGTGCTGGGATTAAAGACATGTGCCACCACTGCCAGCTCAACACAAGTTTTTGAGGGGACAAATAATATCTAAACTACAGCAACAAAGAAATGGTTGCTCTCTGGAGGTGGAAGGTGCCCTGCTGCTGAAGACGCCATGCACTTCAGACACAGTGCCCAGAGGAGCTGAGCTGGATCTGACTGAAAGCTTCCTCCTTGAGGACTAGCTTTCATGGTTCCAGAAAGAACCATGCAAGCTTCTATGAGAAGCAAATAGTCTTACCCAGCTTCAACATCTATGAAACACAACAATCAGCAAGGCACAATAACGCTATGAGGCAATAGTGGCATGCATACCTTGGTGGTAACCAACAGCTCTCTGATTGGAGTTAAAGCCTGATCAACAAAGGGGAAATCATGTCTGATACTGGAAACTTAGCCAATTACCAGGGTCAGTGAAGTCATGAATCTTAGACAGGAATCTACAACTATCCCTTAACTAAATTAACATACTTTCTAACTACATTTAAAATATACTCATAGGTAAGTGTAGCTCTTGACAGACTGCCTTGGTTGTAAACACAGATTTACTATGAGGTTACAGCTGGCCTTGCTCAAACCATTATTGATGAGCCACAGGAAGGAAATTTTTTGCTGAGACAGCCAGTCTCCCAAGATAGGTTGTCACCATTGAGGAGATAATACCAGAAGGATGTGAACTCACATATAGCCCCCCTGAAGCTGCATTAACTTCCTCACCCCCAAGTCTCTATTTAAATTTCAAGCAGTCCCTTTCCTTCTCACAGATACCTCTTTCCTGTAGGAGAGTGTCTGTCCTTTGTTGTTTGAAATGAACAGTCTCATCTGTTGAGGTCAGACTCTGGTCCCTTTCTGCCTTCTTTCTCTTTACTATGAGCTCTGAAATCTAAAAGTTCTCACCCCCTTATCAAAGAGACCTCTTTTTGCAACAGACAAAACCATTACAGAAAATTACAATTGATTTGAAATACAAAGAACAAGAGATTGGGGGGGGCGGAAGCAGGGAGGAGGCAGAAATTTTTAATAAAAAAAAAAACATAAAAAAAAAGAACAAGAGATTATGCAGTGCACAGTCCCAGCCAGTACACCTGTAACACAATTCCTGCTCCTTAGATTCAGGGCTCATTGTGCAAGGCCAGAAAGACTGAAAGAACAAGAGGAACAGGAACTTTGCCGTGAGATTGTGTCTCCTAGAAAAGCCAGAGGCTACACCCATGAAGTTTCATCAATATGGCTGCCTAGATAAGACCTAACAATAACAACACCAATGGACATGCTAACACAGGAAGACAGACATGCTAACACAGTAAGACAGACATGCTAACACAGAAAGATGAAAGCTCACAGGCCTCGACCCTGTACAAGGAAGTACATGCAACTGGGAAAACTGAGAGTGGGGGAAATGGTTTTCCTCAGGGAAGAGCCCCCCAACTGGTTATTCAAAACCAAGTGGTCAGCTTTGAGGTCATATGCACGCAAGTAATATTATTATATGGACTGAGAAGGTTGTATTTACTCATTTAGGAATATATATATATGTGTGTGTGTGTATGTGTGTGCGTGTGTATATATACATATACATAAAGCATATGTACGCACCTAACAACAATAAAATAAAAAGTCATGAATTTAAGAGACAGCAAGGGAGGTACAAAGAGGGGCTGGAGGGAGGAAAAGGATGAAGGGTGATGAAATTACAATTTCAAAAAGCATAAAATTAGAAAAAAACCAACGGAGGCTATTACAGAGTATTGATGGATGCCTCTCCACCTAATACATGAACAAATGGAGAGAGCGAGCCATGAAATGTCTGGGAAAAGAATGTTCCGAGTAGCAGCAATGACAGAGGCAAAGGTTTCAAATCTAGAACATCAATCAGAGGCCCTGGGGCTGGATGTCAGGGTAAGGCAGGGTATATATGAAGAAAAACCACGACCTCCGTTAGGAAATGAGTATAGTTATCCAGATGAGCAGGGGAAACATGCAATGATTTAAAAACTGGGGGAGGAAGCATAAGCTGTTTACACCGGAACTCCATTGGCTGTAGATAGGAGGGGCAGGGCAGCGCAAAGGTGTCTGTGGCAGGGAGACTTTGTGGCAGGAAAGGATGCTAACTTCTAAGAAATAAGCATTGTTTCTGGTTTGGGTTAACAGCACAAAAAAATGTACAGGTAAGAGGGTAATCCGGCCTCGGTGGAATGCTATGCAAGCATTTGAGTCACACTTTCAAGATAGTCTTTCCGATAAAAGTTTATCTCCTTTACTATATCCTCTCGCCTTAGCAGTGGTGCCTGATTCCAGCCTGATTTAGGTTAGCAACAGTATCAGCTGGAGTGTGAAAGTTAGATAAAGATAGTGGTTTGGGATTTGAACCCAAGATTGGTTAGTTTTCCTATGAATGGCAGCTTCATAGTGAGTCGTTCATCAGCTAGTTCTGAAGAGTTTCTCCATGGCGGGTAGGACCCCCACATGCCCAAACACATAAATACAGAAACAAAACAAATACTGCCCTTGAAATTTACAATTTAAAACTCGCTGGGCAGTGGTGACACATGCCTTTAGTCCCAGTACTCTGGAAGCAGAGGCAGATGAATCTTTGAGTTCCAGGTCAGCCTCATTTACAGAGTGAGTTCTAGGACAGCCAGGGCTACAAAGAGTCGGGGGAGGAGGATATTAAAACTCAATTATTTTAATTTCTCTCTAACTCCAGATTCCTCCCAAGTAAGAATGTCTTAAGTCTAACTACAAGTTCTCTACAGACAGTGGTATATTCACATATGCTCACGAAAACATATGGGCATTAAACGCTTAACAGGTCACTAAAAGGACACGAATTGAATTTTGTAATGCTGTACATATGAATAATTGCATGTCTTTTTTTTAATTGAGGAAGAAAGGAATACATATACACATCAAACATCTCATCATCCAAACCACGCAGTCTGGTTCAATTCATACACTAAGTAATGGTGAGAAAACGGCAAAAAGATTCCGTACTCATGTAAAACAAGTTGCCTCACACCAACACACAAAAGGTTCCATTTTCAACTTGAGCTGTGATTTTTCTCACAAAAATCTGAGCCAAGATTTACTGATTATAGTGGCATCCGATACCACATTACCAGACGTTTTCTATAGAATACAAATGAGGTTGTGTAATCCACTATCTATCTAGTCTGGGAAGATTTAATCTTTCTCTACCATAGACACTGGACCTAAGTTTGGCTCTTAAAAGGATCCTTTGTTTCACACCCAAGTTTGGCTCCCACGTACAGTCAGCATCACCAAGCTGGGGTGATGAAAACTGAACCCACTCCACTTGCCTCCCAGGCAAATCTCCGACTACTATGCATCACCCGGCTCCATTCAGATACCTAGTCATGCAAGGTTTCTTTCTTCAACATACATCTCCAACCCTTTCCCCAAATAGTCCCTCGGGTCGCCACGGAGCCACAGACAGGATATGGGGCTGGAGCCCCTCCAATCCAACCCTGTTCGGAGCCTCGGGCGTCACAACCTGGGCTGCAGGTCCCGGGGTCTCTGGGATCCTGCCGGTTCTGCTTCACTGGCCCGGGGTTGACGGGCAGGGACACATCGGGGCAGGATGGTCCTCGGATGTGATCACTGGAGTGGAGGCGGCAGGTGGGCCTGGCAACCCAGACCCCGCACGGCCCGCACACGCCACGTCAGGCCGTACCTGGCTCGTAGCGTCGCCGGCCGCGGCACTCAGGAGGCGGCACCCTGGGTCGGGGTCCGAGCTGGGCTCGGCCTCCCTTCTCGGACCTCACCCGCAGCAGCCGCCCCGCCCAAGCGCCTTCTGATTGGCTCCTTGCGTGTCTGCTTCCGGGTGAGAGTTTGCCCGGTCGCCCCAGCAACCGAGCCCCGCTCTGTCCTAGCGCCCAGCTCGCTCGGAGGCTGCAGAGCTGGCGAGCCAGGGGGAATCGCAGAGTCGCGACAGTCTGTCCGAAACGGCTCCGTCAAGTGAGTGCACTTCCTCCGAGGCCGCTGGGGAAGGGCGCCTTTATCTGGAGCGATGGACCCGGAGCCAGCCGCCGCGTCCACACTGTGGTGCAGCGCCTCCGACAGCCCGGCCTCTGGGAATCCGGAGACGTGGCGTGGGCCTCCGAGTCTGTCGTTGGTTCACTCTATGTTTCCTTTACGGTGCCAGACCGTAGCAATCACAGCGGTTCCTTGCTAGCTCACTTAATCCAGAGCCTTGAAAGTGGAAACGTCACCCCTTTATTTACAGATACTTTATTAGTTTCTGCAATCAAACGCACATAGATAGATTAAACCTTACATATTTAATACACTGAAGTGACCCCTGTATAGATGGAAAAGAAATTAAGCTTAATGTTTCTAGACTAATATGGCTGCTGATTTCTGCACAATGCCAACTCAACACCGGTAAAATGGGGTACCCCCCCAAGTTGAAAGCACTGCTAAAGTTTGAAAAATTCAAATTATATGTGTATATATATCCTTATACAAACATATATATATACACCAATAATAGCAGTATGTTATGCATCGATAATAACAACGATTTTTCCAGAACCCGCAGTCATCTGAACAAAACACCTTAAAAACAGAACAAACAAACAAAACCCACCGAACAACCAGAAAACAGCACAGGTTTGTGACTGCTGCGGTGCCGGCACCATATTTTTATTTTTTATTAGTCTCTCAATCATCTGGAAAGAAAACATCCTGAGTAATATCGTTACAACCATCTTTGCAAAGCTACTATTGCATCTCATAAAGCAGGGCTAAGATATTTTTACATTCACAGAAGTATGCTACATCGCTGCCCCACATCGGTAACTCTAGAGGACGCAAAAGGCGTCTGAGACTCGATTCCCGCAGACTTCCAGCAGAGGGCGTGAGAAAGCTCTGTAAAGCCCTGTGCTCTAGTACAGGATTTTCTTTCAGTGGTGGCCCAGTAAAAGGCACTGCTCTCTCATGAATATCAGCCAAAAACCATTATTAAAAGCAAACAAACAAACAAAAAAAAAGGAAAAATTTCCCCCAAATAAGATTGTACAAGACCGAATTCATAAAACTTCACAAGACATGGATGGACATTTGAAGAGCGGTTGAGGACTTACTCAGTTTCTTGTATGATGGGTTCTGTTTAGTAGCGTCCTGCTTAGCAGGTGCTTACTGGTTGTGCCTCAAAGGCCATTCACCCCCTAACTAGGCATTTTCTGTTAGTACTCAATACTGAGCAGGGTGGTGGGATGGGAGAGAGATGTAACTGCTCCATGGTTGCTCTTTTAGTTGCGGTCATCAGAGACCAGACACAAAGGTTTCAAGAGGACGCTGAGTTCTGAGACTAGAGGAGCTTAGGGGTGAGAAGAATAAAGACTTTGGGAGAGAGGCCGCATCTGAGCGAGGGCGACAGAGTACCAACAGGTGGTGTCTACAGTTAGACACTAGCCTTCATGGCTTATATAGGCTCAGCCACTTAGTGTAAGGATGAGGTGACTGAGCTGTGAGCCATTTGCCGTAGGCCAGAGAAATCTAGGAATCTAGGAAAGATGGAATCTAGGAAGTCTAATGCCGGAGCAGGGACCACTGTATTCTGTGTCCAGCTCCAGACTGAGTGGTAGTTTGTTAGCCATAGAGGCCACGCCTGCTTCAGGGAGCACAGCACAGCTCCTGTGGGCACCACAAACAGATCTGGAACTCCGATAAGCATTGTTAAGCACTCAGAGCGGTTCTGTGTCTCTGTGCTTTCACAACTTCATACTTTGATTGAATCTCTGTTTCCATTTGAGAGCTGGGCTGACCCAAGGCTTTCTCCTAAGCCCTGATGTGTGGAGAAAGAACACAGCTCTTTGTTACCAGGGGTATGCTTGGCAGAGCCAGTAATAGTCTAGGGCCGGAACCCTGGGAACTCCCCTCCTCCCCCCGAGGCTCTGATGTATAAAGAAAAAACATAGCTCCTTCTCCAAAACTGAGAATATGCTTTGCAGAGATGGTAATGACCAGGGTTCAGGGCCTTGGGGGAGCTGTGGCTTTGGAGCAAGATCCCAACTCTTTCTATCCTGAGGGGCTATGGTTATCAATCCCAAGGCCATATTCCTAACAATACAATAGTAATAGTATTTGGGGTAGGAGAGATGGTTCAGTGCTTAAGAGCACTTGTTGCTCTTGCAGAGGACCTGAGTTCAGTTCCTAGGACCTACGTGGTGGCTCACAACCATCTGTAACTCTGCTTCCAGGGGATCTTTTGCTCTCTTCTGACTTCTGAGGGCACCAGGCAGAGATGCGATGCTCACACATACATTCAGGCAAAACACCCATACACATAAAACAAAAACAATTTTTTCAAGACAGGGTCTACTTAGTGAGTTCCAAGCCACTAACTGGCTACATTGGGGAGATCCTGTCCCCACCAAAAAATGAATTTTATACTAATAAAGTTTTAAGAAGTAAATAAAAATAGATCATCTAGGCAAAATTATTTATTTTCTCAGGACCTCACACCAGACAATGGAAATGCCGGTCAGGAGGTGCTTGCACCCACGTGAAGAGATTTTACCTGAATAATGCTGAAAGCACGCATTATAAGTTTTGTGACATTAAAATACTTAAATTTACCTTTGTTTTCTTCAATCTCTTAAAGCATCTTCAGAAGTATATAAGATCAAGTTTATATTTCCAAATGGCGACAAGTATGGTGAGCATGCATTTTAATTACTTTTTCATACAGAAAATTCCATAGTTTAGGATTTTGAAAACAAGACTCACTCATTTTATAAAACTATTATTGGCATATTACCTCACTTAAAGGGAATAGCAGACATCCCAATAGACGTATAGACATTTAAATCAAAACTGTTACATCTAGACAGGATGCCTTAGAACCACGTGGAATCTGTCCTCCGTTCTGACTCCTTAGTTTTAGTCCTATGAAGCCGGAAAACCAAAGACCAAAGGAAACCCGCACATGGGTTGGGGGCAGTGGTGGATAGGCTTCTATGTGGCTGTTACATGGACCTAGTCCACGCCCCCACTTCAAAGCCGCAGGCTCCTTTCCTCATTAGATGGTGACTGTACGAGAACACCTTCCGGGATCTACGAGAGAAACGGGACAGGCATCCACACCACTCCTGACGGGATTGTCTACACGGGGAGCTGGAAAGATGACAAGGTATTGTGATCACCTTTCACTCTGCTAGTGGAGAAACAATCCCGTGGGTGAAGTGATTCTAAGCGGTTCATTCTTGGTCAAAGATGCATTATTAAAGCTAGCTAGCATCTCACAGCTGTAATGGCATCACGTAGGGGGCCGAGGATGAGGACCTCAGGTTCCTGGGCTATGTAGTGAGACCTGTGTGTACACTAGACTCTATAGTGAAGATAAATGGTTTTACTTAGCATCTGTTACTCTATACATAATATTACGCTCATGAAGAGAGCTAATATTATCTTTCTCAGCTCCCATTCATTGAGTAAAGCCAAACACATTATTTTTTTCCATTTAACTTTAACAACTTTATAAAATGGGTCCTATTGATACTATTTATTTATTTATTTATTTATTCATTATGTATACAGTGTTCCACTTGTATGTGTCCCTGCAGACCAGAAGAGGGCACCACATCTCATTACAGGTAGTTGTGAGCCACTATGTGGTTGCTGGGAATTGAACTCAGGTCGTCTGGAAGAGCAGCCAATGCTCTTAACCACTGAGCCATCTCTCCAGCCCCAGTATTTATTTATTTATTTATTTTAAAGGTTTATTTATTTATTATGTATACAACATTCTGCCTCGATATATGCCCGCACGCCAGAGCAGGGCGCCAGATCTCAGTACAGATGGTTGTGAGCCACCATGTGGTTGCTGGGAATTGAACGCAGGTCGTCTGGAAGAGCAGCCAGTGCTCTTAACCTCTGAGCCATCTCTCCAGCCCCAATACTTTTTTTTTTTAATAGATGAGACAAATCAGACTCAGGTTTTTTTGTACAGATGGTAAGTGATAAAGTAGGAATGTGTACCCAGCTCTACTTGAATATAAATTCACCTTTAAAAATATTATATGTATTATATATTAAATTTTATACTATTAAAATTATTATATGTATTTATCTCCTTGAACTCACAGAGATCCGCCTGCCTCTGCCTCCCGAATGCTGGGATTAAAGGTGTGCACCACCACTGCCCAATCAAATTCATTCTTAACAACTACTGTGAACTGTTCTGAAGTGACAACACCAGTTGCTCTTTAAGAGTTATGATGTACTTAGGTATCTTGAGGATCCTGGTTATCATCACCTTGGTTCCCCATATGTCCAGATACCCCCAGATCCAGAACATCTGAGTCAGTAGGCTTCTCAGAAAGAACAGGGGAAGAATCATGGTAAAGCGTCTACAGGGGTGACATGAAAATGATGGCAACAGTGTTACTGGTAGGCTGGTGTGTGTAGTGAAGGCTGGTGTCTGGGAACAGTGTTACTGGTAGGCTGGTGTGTGTAGTGAAGGCTGGTGTCTGAGTGTCTCCTTTCTTACAAACAGATGAATGGCTTTGGGAGACTTGAGCATTTTTCAGGAGCCGTGTATGAAGGACAATTTAAGAACAATATGTTTCACGGACTGGGGACTTACACATTCCCAACTGGGGCAAAGTACACTGGAAATTTCAATGAAAACAGGTAACCTTAAAATTTAAGAACAATACAATTCTAAAAGATTCTCTTTAGTTGTGCTTGTTAAGTAGTGTATTTATTAACTAATGTTGAATAATCTTTGTGACATATTTGATCTCCACAAAAGGTT